TTATTCTACTATTTCTTTTACTTTAAAATAGGAATATATATCTAAATATAGGTTCTATTAATTATACTAATATAGTTATAATAATACTAAAGATTAGTATTAATAATTATATTTTATAGGATATAATTATTATCTAATTACTTTATAAACTTAATAAATAATAATCTTAATATTTTAAGCTTTTTCTTTATAATATTAAATATAATTAACTAGGTTATTCTAAATCTTTAAATAGTAGTTTATTAAATATAGCTTTATCTAAAGATATAAAAAAGAATTAGAACTTTCTATTTAACTATCTAATAATATATTTCTATAAGATCTATATTTTTTTTAAATTATAAGATAAGTATATAAAAATAATATAACTTTATTTAAGCTTTATATATAAAGATATTAGGATAATCTTTAATCTCTATCTTAATCTTCTTAAGAGCTATAAATAAGCCCTCTAGATTAATAACCTTCTAATTAAGATAATACTAATATAGCTACTTTAGCTAATAGATATATAAAAGATAGTATACTACTAATTCTACTACTAACTTTATTAAATAAGAATTCTAAATTTAAATATATATAATCTCTTTAATCTTATAAGAAGATATAATAAGTAGTATTAAATAGTTTATTTATAATAACTATTACCTCTAATAATAATAGAATTTTATTAGCTAATAGAGGTTTTATTAATTATAAGATAGGATACTTTTTTATATAGTAAATATTATAAATTTAATAAAATTCTATTATAAAATCCCTATCTAACTCTCTAAAGAGATTAGAGAGAAAATAGTATATCTATTAAATTTATATAATTTCCTTATTAATAAGGGATTCTGAATACTCTTAATAATATAATAAATTTACTACCTCTTATAGAATAACTAAATATTTAGAGCCTTAGTACTAATATAAGATCTATAAAATTATATTTATTTATTCAAATTTATATAAAAAGTATACGAGCTGATTACAGCCTATATATACTTTCAAACTAATCTTAACAGTTATAATCGCTTTATATCAAGATGCTTGTATTGTACAACAGCAAACTTAACACGATCAATAATTTCCAAAATCCCCCCATTCAAATATGATATAATGACCTTCTATGGAATAATAGCCTTTTCATTTGAAGAAGCTCGGATATAAACTTGTTAATTGATATCTCCATGCATGCCGAGAGCGTGGCAATTTGAAAAATGGGGCAGGTGGCTCCATGCTTTGGCAGAAGCATAAGCAGCTTGCATTAGCGCATCTCACACCGCTGGGATCAGCTGTATGAAATAATAGCTCCCTAAATGGGCTGAATTTGGCTTCTTCATATCCCCGATTGGGGGATGGACGATACAGCCAAGAAGTTTGTCCGTGGACAGTCAAAAATCCGTGGACTGGAGCGCATTTTCGAAAGCTATAAGAACCGGTAGGATGGTTTGGATGTAGTTTTAGAATTAAGTTATCATAATTAAGTGTCTTGTTTTACACATTCCCTTTGAATCACAAGCAAATTAGAGGTGTTGAAAAATATCTTGTTGCAAATATCATCTATCACCAACTTGCTTCCTCAAGCGATTATGTACAAATTCGAAGGATGGCTAGGCCATGATGCAGAGGCTTCTGAAGGGAAGATGGTTTGGGGAGAGTTTGAACCAAAGACATTCAATGAACATGATATCGACATCCGCGTCACCCATTGTGGTATTTGCGGCACTGATGTTCATGTCCTCCGCTCTGACTGGGGTCCGACGACATATCGTGAGTTCTTTTTCATCTCATTCTTACTGATCTAATGGATCATCGCTAATACCCGATTTAGCTTGCTGTGTTGGACATGAAGTTGTCGGAAAAGCCGTCCGTGTTGGCACCGCTGTCAAGTCTATCAAAGTCGGTGATCGTATCGGTGTTGGTCCGCAAGCTCGAAGTTGTTTCAGGGAAGATTGCTATGAATGCTCCATAGGGAAGGTCAACTACTGCCCGAGAGCCGTGCCGACTTTCAATGGCACATACCCGGATGGCGAGGGCAGATCCTTCGGTGGGTTTGGGAACTACGTTCGCACTGATAGCCGTTTTGCGGTGAAGATCCCAGACGGCCTGCTCTCTGAGCATGCAGCCCCTATGCTGTGTGCTGGAAGTACACTCTATGCCTCCCTGAAAAAACACAGATGCGGCCCTGGGAAGACAGTCGGGCTTGTCGGAATAGGTGGACTGGGACACTTTGGGATCCTGTTTGCCAAGGCGCTCGACGCGGATCGAGTTGTGGCTATTTCGAGGGGCTCATCCAAGCGTGATGACGCGCTTGCCTTTGGAGCGGACGATTTCATCGCTACCGGGGAGGATCCTGAGTGGGCTTCGAAGAATGAAAAGACACTGGACATTCTCTTAGTGACGTCCTCTGGTAGCAACATGCCGATTGACCAATACATGGCCATTATGAAAACGGGAGGTTCCATCATACAACTAGGGTAAGAGTCGCGAGCTTCTAATGTTTGGTGAGGTAGCTAATATTGAGGTTCTAGTGCTGATCCGGGCGGCCAACACCCAAGCTTCAGCATGCTCACGCTGTTGTACAAGGAACTTAACATTACCGGGGCGATTTGTGGTTCTCCTTCTGAAATGAAGGAAATGATGGATCTGACCGTTAAGAAGAATGTTAAGCCTTGGGTCCAGACAATTCCGATGGCGGAGGCTAATCAAGCGCTTCGCGATTTGGAGGCTGGGAAGCCACGATATCGGTTTGTCTTGGTCAATGAAGGAAGTAACTAAGATGCTACAAAATGGCTTGTAATCAAGACTAAAATCCCCATTTCTATTATTTATATTGGGGCTAAAATACAGAAAGTTCGAGCAGAAATGACACAAGAAGCTCATTTTTACTCCGAGAATAGTCTTTGTGACGAAATGTGAAATGGCCCAGCCCGAAATTATGATATAGCGGTCCCATATCTTGCTTTTGCCTTGGGATATCGCTCTAGGTCCTCAGAGCTATCCGTCAAGCCCCAAAAACATATTTTCCTCATTTATTCGAGGAGACATGAAATCGGGAAAGCCAAAATTCATGGCCTGGATGTCCTCGTAACTGAGTTCTGGTAGACTGTTACTGAGCAGCATTTCTGATGAGTCCATCCCCAACGAGAGTGCATTGCCCGAATCTCTACCGCTGGGATGGTCAACGTTATCATCATTGCAATAGCTACCTGCACGTTTGAGGAGGTCGTCTATTATCAGATTCAAGGATTCGTGTAGGTGAGATGGAGCACCACCGAGAAACTGATCATATTTCTGCTTCGAAGCCTTGACTAGTCGTAAATCCTGGGACATGGTTGTTGTGGACGGATGAATAATTATATCGGCTAGAAGGATGATCATGCCTGAATATTGGGCACAAGTGCATAGCCTATCATGCAGATATGTTAGCATAATAATACTGCATTCAAATCTCTTCGTCCATGATACATACCATGCTGAGGAACTTGCGAGGGGTGCTTGCAGAAATAATTGTATGGCCTCCCGAGTGACAGAGACACAATCATTCCATCCCGCTATTGAGGGAGGCTCCTGCAACTGTAGACAGGTGGTGACTCTCGGGCCTTGGATCGTCACCATGATATCCTCAATTGCTGCCTTACTGAATGACCCAATCTTGCACATCCACTCAGACTTGGCGCTCCATATTCCGTGTATACAGATCTGGCAAAACAAGTACACCTGGTGGAGATACATGACCTGGGCCAAATTTACGGGCTTGAGAGAGCTGGGAGCATTAGCAGGCTTGAAGGTAGCTGGGATCTCAGAGTACCACTCCTCCAGCATCGCGTTCAAATTTGCCACGCGCTCCCGCCTCGTGTTGGTCTCAAACTCTAGGTAGTGATTTGAGCAGATAAGAGCGTTGATTTTACTCTCAATCTGACCTAGTCTAGCACGTTGATAGAGCATGTTGAGGGAAGCATCCCCATGCAGGGAATGAATGAAGCCCCCGTTTGTTGTTGAATCACGGTCGGGAAGCGGGAGGTTGATGTCATCATCTGATAAGAGAGAGGGAGTCTTCATCCGGAGGCTTATGTCCTAAAGAATGTTAACTTTTCATAGTTCTTTCATCCTGAGCCCTGCAAACATACCTTGTCCAGAAGATATGTGATCCAGAACACGTTGGATCTTTGTTGGGCCTCTCCGTCAGAATAATGCCGACCTGGGTCTTTTTGGTGCAATTGCATCCTGTGCGTGAGCCTGATCGCCATTCCAAGAAGAACGCTCGATGGTCTGAAATCAACAGAGCCCTGGAATAGGAGTGCCAGGGATACGATTACTTGGAGGCCAACGAGGTCTTCATCCCGGGACATGAGTTCGGGCAAGGTAGATTGTGCATTTCTCATGCAATAGCTCAGCCATGTTTCTCCGTTGGCGGTTTGGTGAATGTTCTGGCTCTCCTCGGGCATAGATTGTAGTCCTAGGGCCATGACGACTAGGATTGATGCCCATGAGAGCCTATCCCGCTTGGGTTGATTACTGAACCAGCGCGTGACCATTTTCATGAACACAGTTTGGTTGAAGATGGGAAGCGCTGTGTTGATACCCTCGAAGAAATGATCAATAGCGGGCATCAGCTCCTGTTGACATGCTCGGTTAGACAATTCTGTTTGATTTAGTTCTGGATGGCTGTGGCATACTGTGAGAGGCGGCAGTTCTAGAGAACCATCTGGCAGGCCAAAATATAGACTCGGGCTGGTGGGATCAAACTTCCAACGGGGACTCTGAGGTGCAGTTTCGCTGAAGACTCTGCCCGTAGAGTTGATATCTAGCGGCGTGTTTGTCTCAACCGGTACTGGCTCATGTTGCTCAACGGCATCATTAATTGGACTAAGAGCCGTTTGCTGTCTTGAACCCTGCCCACTCGTAGCTGTGGATGGAACACCAGGGGTCTTGGCGTCACCCCGAGTAATGGTCCGATGGCAATCTTTATTGTACAGTTTGCAGTTGGAGCATTGTGGCTCGCGTTTGTCGCATTTGATCTTTTTAGCAAAACACAAATCGCATGCTTGCCAGCGCTCTAGTCAGCATTTACAGTACACCCTCAGTGAAGTTTCGGGCGTGGGATCTCACCTTTCGTGCGCCTTGGCCTGGGCTGATCCTTGGTGCGTGTACGTGAAGACATTTGAAACCTCAATTTACCTAGGTCTCTTGGAATGGAATTAATTTGTTGCAGAATTCTACCAGGCACACGATCAAGACGGGAGAGCACTTTTGAGTAATAAGCCAATCTCAACCTCTTGCGTAGCTGGTGGGGATTGATATTTGTTGATTACAAATTGACAGCTGATGACGGAATTAAACCCGCAAGATCCTTGTCTCGCCACGCGAACATTGAACAGGTTTTCAATTATTAGGTAGCATCCGCTGCGAATAGGCAGGATCAGCTTGTATAATACAGTTGGTCTGATGCTCGCACCCTTAGTTGTGAGACCAAGGCATTGATCGCATTGCGCTGGTTCAGAATACCATGGGGGCGCCAAGTCCAAATCTGATTGGTCATCGAATTGGAAGAGACCTTGCTTGGTATTATTTCTATTGGTTTTATCACGGGCTTGAATGGACAAAATTTCATTTTCTTTTCATTGTGGCATCTCATGTAGTAGGAGGGCGAGATGTCGCTCATGGTACGCTTATATTAAGAAAAACTAAGAATGTTCTGCTATTTTTAGATTTATTTGTTTCTTGAGAGATGAATATAGTTGGCTTGTTGTCGCAATCTGTGCCAATAAGGAAAGAAGAAGAAAAAAATACCGATTTCCTCCTTGTCGTATTAGAAATTGAATGAAAGTCCCTTGATTCTACCAGATACCCGCCTCCATACTCAGATCATACCTTTGGGGCCACTCAGGTCCGACCACGAAGACTCGCGGGACGTTACGGACAGCAGCTGGATCACGCCCGTTAGCACACTACAGTTTCATCAGGGCTACTTGAGAGAAACTAACCGATTTTTGACTAAGCAGTGGGATCATTATTTAGGAAATATTTTGCTTCAAAGGCTTGAAGTCGACGAACAATTTCCTTTGCCTTGGGTTCTTCTTTCTTCTCATTAGATTCGTAATGTGTTATAAGCGCACGAACGACGCTCTTGTCAACATTGGCTGCCGTCGAATTGTCCAACAACAACGCGAGCAGTCGGCAAGATTCGTCCGTCGCCGCCTCGCAAGCATAGCCCAGGGTAGTGGTCTCCGGCTCCTTGGTCTTGCGCCCCAAGGTCGCGCCGACTTCAAGCAAGAGGCAGATTCGCTCCGCGTAAGCCTCGACGTCGGGGTCGTCCGACGGCGGCTCCCCGCCCCAGAACATTCCGAGGACGTTTCGAAGCATGGTCAAGCGGTTGACATCCGGGTCAGTCACGACGGCGCCGGCGGCAACCAGGAGCTTCATGCACTCCATGCTCTGTACACCGGTAGCGGCCACAAACAGCGGCGTTTGCTTAAAACGGTTCCGTCTGGAGGTCCTTGGTTCCCCTTCAACTTGGTTGACATCGACACGAAGGGCAATCAGCTCCTTGAGGACATCAATCAGCAATTCGTGAGGTTCGCTTAGAAGAGTGTGGAGTATCAGCTGGAATTGCCCGTATGAGCGTCCCAAGGACCGTGGGTTGTTGATCAGGCCTCTTCCAAGAAGAAACATGGCTGTCCGCAGGTGACGTTGGCTTACGAGTCCAAAGAGTACTGCACCCTGCATTGGCAAATTGTGTAGCAGTACCCCCTTGTCGATTAGGAGGTTGATCGTAGCAAAGGCCTTGTCTTCACGGGCCATTCCAGCGGCGAAAGTTAGGGCATTGCGCGAGTGGAGATCTGCCGCGTCGACGTCGATGTGTGGCTGACTGAGAACGTATTCGATCATCACCGGGTCCTGTGTCTCGATAGCTAGATGTAAAGCAGTCGAGTGTCCGAGTGTCCGACCAGTGAGACGGACCCCGGGCTCTTGCATGAGACGTTTGACTGTGTTGATATGGCGCCTTTTGACGGCGGCGAAGATGGGTGTATTGCCGTCACTATCCTGCATGGTAGCGTCTATATCGGGCCGCTGGAGAAGGAGCTCGATCAGAGGCAGGTTCTCGTTTTTCCGGGACCGGATTACCATGTGAAGGACGTTCTGTCTCTCGCGATCTAGGTCACCCGCGTGGATCTTGTACTCGAGAATTTCTCGTACGACGTCCATGTCATGATTGGCGGCGGCGCGGTGAAGACGGGCACGCAGTGTTACTGGATCGGTGCGCTGGGAGACCTTTTCGACAAGGTCAGGCCGTCCTTGATCATGCAGGATCCTGAGAACAGATACTCCCTTGGCAATCATGTACGCGCCGTGATCAATCAGGCGGGCCACATCCTCCATGGACCCATACGCAACAGCTGTATATAGAGGATACGCAGTCTTGTTGAGTGTCATCACACTCCGTCCTGAGTTGCCGTTCCGCACTGGCCACCCGGCACTACGGCAAGCATCATTGCAGGGAGGTGACTGACTGGACGGCAGATGGACATCAACCCCGTTCTTCAGCATCAACTCGACGACACGGCTACTGCGCATGGCGAGAGCGACGTGAAATGGCTGCAACTCCTCGGAGGAAGGCTGGCTGCAGGGTCTGTTCAGGTCCGCGCCATGGCGAAGAGCCACCTGCAATGTCTCGACGCGGTCCGTCTCCGCCGCAAACAGCAGGCAAGAAGCTTCCCTGTGGTCGTGGAGCAAGTTGCGCTTGTACAGCGGCCCGTTCAAGAGCTCGTGGAAGCGACGGTTGACGCGGGCCAGCGCCGCGTGGGATCTGCCATAATACTTGCCAGCCGTCGTTCCTTCGGGGCGCGCTGAGCGCCAAGGGGCACTCCCCCCAAGTCCAAAGGGACGTTTAGGGTTGGAGCCCCCGGTACATGCTTCAGCAATGTGAAGGACGATTTCTGAGGGTAGTGTTGCGAGTCGCGCCATAGTGTCTGAAGAGATGGCTCTATGGGATAGATGAAAGCGGGGGTGAAAACAGGTGATGCATGAGATGAGGAGATGGCGAGCATAATATTGCATATGTTTAATGACTAATCTGTGTAACCACAACAATGGATCGCTCCGAGTCGGAGGGAATGTGCAATAATGATCTCCTCGAACGTGTGGCAAGAGAATCAATTCATGTTCTTCGAGACCAACCGGGAGAAAGCAGAACCGACGGTGGGCGGGCAGCAATGGCGTTCAACTAAGTGAAACATAAAGCACCGCCGCACCAGAATCATCTTTGCCGCCACGTTCCAAACCTTTTGAATGTTTCGACTCATTCAGGAGAAGACTCATGTTTGAAGCATCTGAGACATCTTGCAACATCCGACACCGGAGAATAACAACATAAGGCATTCTGTTAAACAATGAATGCATCAACACATGCAATGAATGGTTACTGTAAGAGAACGGAACAAAAGAAAAGGAGTATGGTCAGATGTCATAAGGAGAATGTTATTTTGTTTACTTTAAGTATTTATAGTAGCCTTCAAACTCCAGGGACCATAACCACATATAATCGCGGGTCAACAGCTCTCCGCCCTGCCCCACTAAGGGGAGAAAAACAAACAATTGAATCTACCCGATCTCCCCTTTAGTGCCTGGATGGGGCAGCGCAAAGTCATTGACCCAACGACCTGGAGTAAGCCCAAAGATGTGTTTATCATGGACCTTTCGGACCCAGATACTAGACATTCATATTGAACATCTAGGTCGAATCATTTATTTCTATTGCTATGTCTCTGTTGGAGTAGTTTTCCCCCACGAAAGCAGCGCATTCAGTTCAAGCAGTGGTCGCTCTCAATCTCGAGTCCCAGAACTCGAACGCGGTGCTCCACATCCCCACGCATAACATCATACCTACTACGGTAGGTAATAATAGAACGAAAAAGAACCACATGGAGAGTTTGTTTCAAATAGCGCAGTGAGAATTACCGTGGTTCAATCACCATATTCGACAAATATGTCAAATAACCGTCGTGTTAAAGAGTTCCTCTTGAATAATGCGTCAATAGAAACACCAAGGAGGTTGATCGAGGAAGATGACTGACCCTAGTAGGATTACAGGGGCAAGTGACCCAAAGCCCAGGGGAGCCGCCCCAGTGACAGGCCCCCAGATATCGATTCGGGGCGATCGGGAACAGGATCGGGCCTCATGTCCGATCCCCCAACCCACCCACACACACCGTTGCCCGTGAGTTCTCCATCGCAATCCGTCGGGGATATCTTACCGAAATAATGGTTGTGACCGGGAATTGAGATCCGGGTTTATTAATGGCCTCGGTGGTTGTATTGGTCTCCTTCTCAAATTGCCCGCTCTTGATAACTGTAGCTTCACACAGCACATCACTATATTCCAGCTTAGGTAGTTCAGATCACCGCCATGTCCAACGTCAGCCTTGATCTAGATGCGGAAGAAGCGGCATTCCAGGCACAGGTAGCTGCTATTGAGAAAGAATGGCAAAACCCCAGGCAGGCTCATCTTAAGAGGTACGTGATGGATTGACAGGAGTCTGAGAACAAGTGCTCATCCGTCTTACCTAGGCCTTACTCGGCAGAGTCCATTGCAGCTCTACGAAACACGATACCGATAACGTATCCGTCGAGCTTGCAGGGAGATAAGCTTTGGAATATTCTAAAGACTCATCTGGCAAATGGAACTCATGAGAAGACATTTGGCACCACAGAGCCAACTGTCGTTTCTCAAATGGTTAAACATCAACAGGTGAGGATTAAATTCTCCAATATCCCCTTATCCCATCATATGCCCGCCTCTATGAGAAAGTATGTAAAACTGACTAGCGGTATGATCTACCTTTATTCGTAAGACTGTCTATGTATCTGGAGCCCTATGCGGCCTATCCGAAGTTCAGCACCCAGGATGTGATCACGCAGATTACCCGTGGGACACGGTGCCAAAGGTCGTTGAAAAGATCTTCAAGGCGCAGCTATTCCACGACCAGCGGCAACATCAGTTTCGGATGCGCCACTCCAAAGAAGAGCGCGCGAAGCTCGAGAAGTATGACTTCATGGCCCCGATCATCGCCGATGGGGACATGGGTTTTGGCGGCCTCACAACAACGGTCAAGCTGGCCAAGCTGTTTGTGGAAGCCGGCGTTGCCATGATCCATCTAGATGACTTAGCGATCGGCCTGAAGAAGTTTACTGTTGGCGAAGGCAGAACTGTGGTCCCTACTAGCGAGTATTTGTCGAGATTAACTGCTGTCCGCATGCAATTCGATGTCATGGGGTAGGTTTGAATACAAACTGACCGAAAGAATGAATGGCTGATCATATCTTGATTAATTTTACAGCACCAACACGTTGCTCATGTGTCGTTGCGACACTGACCGGTCCCAGTTCATCACGAGCACCATTGACCCCCGGGACCACGAGTACATCATCGGAGCTACCAAAGACCTCGACCCTTTGGTCCAGTATGTAGCAAATGGAATGGCGGAAGGGAAACCATATGTGCAAGCACGGGATGAATGGAAGTCCCAGGCTGGCCTAATGACATTTGACCAGGCTGTCAAGGAGAAAGCCACAGAAGAAGAGTATCAACAATACGCTTCGAAAGCCATTGCCTATGGTGTTTCACTTAAAGAAAAACGCCGAATTGCCAAAGAGTTGGTAAAGCAGGACGTGTTCTTTGACTGGGAGCTCCCTAGAACCAAGGAGGGGCAGTATATGTGGAAGCCTAGTGTCAAGACAATTGTCGAGCGAGCTGTTCTAGTCGCACCCTTGGGCGATATGACATGGGCCAGAATGGACGCGCCAGGTAAGTTCCTTTCAAACACTCAAAAGCTCACTTAATTCTCGAGGTTGCTACTAACAAGTAATCAATAGTCTGGAAAGATATCGTCGAGTTTCACACCGAGGTCCGTAAGGTGTACCCAGATCGAATGTTTGCGTTCGGCTTCACCGGAATGTACAACTACGAGGCAGCCGGTTTCACTCAGGAACAGGTAAAATCTTTCAGTGACGACATGGCCAAATTAGGCATCGTCTGGCAGGTCCAGCCCATCTGGTCTGTAGCAGGTTTGAACATTACAGCAGAGAAGTTTGCTAAGGAGTGGCAGAGAGATGGTATTGCTGGATATATTGAGACGATTTCCAAGCCATCAAGGGCACCTCCTATTGTCGATGGTTTTCACAAGCTTAGTTATGCAGGATCCTATCTTGCGGACGCCTTTTTTGCTGTTGTTGCTGGAGAGAAGATTGTACCATAGGTTTTCAAATTGAACATAGCCGGTAGCTCATATTTAGTTCCATAAATGCAAACCTACGGATTTACGATGGCGCGATGCATAGATACCGAGGACCCAAAGAGCGTAGATACCATCCTATATCACAATGTGAAAAGAGTAGATTCTAGAATGATGGTTTCCGTCGACCATGTGGAATACTATTTGAAGTGTAGGGTAGTCGATCCGGCCTGACATCTGTCTAAACTCAATCGATGCTAGGTGATTCTAATTAATGCCGCACATGCGAGCGCTCGCTGCTTGGACTCAACCCTTCCTGGACCACAACGTGCATCTGATTCGGTGACGCTGCGCTCCAAGCATGTAGCGTCATCTAATGGGGTTTTCGCTGTCTCGTGACTTACCTAATCTCATCCAGCCTCAAAGGCTGGTAACAGATCTCCCTTGTTCACATTCCTCACCTCACCTCCTCGAGGGGGATCTCCCCTTGGACTTGGACCTCCTCCTTTGCAAAACCATTCATCCATGAAGGCGGCAGGGGTACCCCTCATTACTCACTAATTCAAATAATGTCTCCACCAGCTGTCGGAGTCTCGACAAGGAAAAGGAAACGATCATGTGAGCGCTGCATACGGCTGAATATCGTCTGTGATGCGGACGGAGACTCAACCTGCCAAAATTGTATCGCGGTCGGAGCTGGTAATGATGGTCTTTACACAACCCTGTTTCTAGCTGTTTCTAGTATACTAACAAATTTTTCGTGCTTTTAGGATGCAGCATAACCATCGTCCCTGGGGTATCGCTAAACCCTGAAAGAGCGGACATGAATCAATCTCGGGATGAGCGTGGTCTAGGAGTACAGCCAGCCATTACTGGAACTCCACAATCTGCGTCTGGGTCTCTGGCATCACGTAATTCTGATTTTGAGAATCGGATTTATTCGCAGACGCCGCCGTCAGCAAGACTCCCTGGTCCATCGCCGAGACAACCGCCGTCTATTGGTAGCGGAGCACCACCTGATTTCGTGGCAGAAAGCTCAGGAATGGCCAATGGTAAATCATCGACCATCTCGACAATCCTGTCTAAATTCATAGAGGGAAGCTCAGACTCACAGAGCCCCTCCGGCATCTCGCCTAATGATATTCCGCTTCATACAGCAGCTTCGTTTTTCCACACATACTTCACTACTGTTCACCTCCAATATCCTTTTCTGGACATTGAGACATGCGCAGCTCATTATAGGGCATGGACAAGGACTGGAGGTAGCCCGGAATTTGTTGGATGGCCAGCATTCTTCGTCAATATGGTATGTATTCCATACTCCAGCTGATCGCGTGTCATGATGTATGCATGCTGATGAGACTGAAAAGATCTTCGCGATTGGGTCTCTCATTGAATCTAAAATTGACAACGCATCCTTCCCCCAATACCAAAACCTAAAATCGCGAGCGCAAGCCGAGCAATCCATCTTAGCCGACTCGACTTCCACTCCTCTTGTACGGCTGCAGGCCATGCTCCTCTCTGCCATGTTCGCGTTACATGCCGAAAGCACCTGGCGAATTGCACACATCAGCGGTGCTATAATGAAATTTGCATCCCTGCATCGGTTCCACCGACTGAAGAGAGATCCTAGCGACCCAAGCAATCTGATATCGATCAGAGCCTGGTCGTGTGCCTACGTGTAAGCCATTACTAAGAGCAAATCATTTTCCAGGGAGACAGAAGGCTGATAGAGTCTGCTTCTGCTATGAAGACTTGACAGAGCTGCTAGCTCGGCACTTGGGACTCCAGTGAGCTTGCCTGACATGTACATATCAACTCCATTATACGAGTTTGATGACCGTGTCATGGAAAATGCTTGTTCAAATCTGCCTTGGACAGAGCATCGTGGCACGCTAGACAAGGACGTGTCGTATCCCGACCTCCGGACATTCTCTTACATTTGCAAAATCAGGACCATTCAGTCATTTTTTATGCACATGATTGAGAAGGATGAACTGGAGGGGAAACCTGTCCCATTGGACCTGGAAATCCACATGTTGAGAGAATTGCGAGAGTGGGAAAACGATGAGACCATCCGCAAACATAGGTACCTTACTAAATACCCTTTTGCTTGTCTCAGCTATGGCCGACTAATTTCTCTTCCCAACCGCCAGTTTTCCGTCCAGCCGCGGTTATCAGAACCCTCTCTGGCTTCAGCATATTGGTCATCTCACTAGACTCTCCTTCTGTTTCGTTAACAAGGCCAATATTTTCTCCACAAACGCCGACAATGCCCTCCAGGCAAGCTGTGCGGCGTGCACCAGTTTCCGCTGCCTCCAAAAGAAGAAACAGATTGCACAGCCATGGCTCGCCGTAAGTTCTTAAGTTTTTTAAATTACTCAATAGTTCTTACAGCTGGCAATAGGTTCTCTCGCAGTTTCGTGCCGCTGTCACGCTCTGGTACATTATCTGGGCGCGGATGACACCCGTCCCCCAACATGCGAATGACGCGATCCGCGACTGCAGTGCAGTTTTGGCCATATTTGCAGACCGATGGCCCAAGGCGGAGCATTACCGAGACTGCTTTGAGTGGCTGGCTTCGACTATTCCGCGCAGCCAGCCCCAGGGCCAGCTATCAGCTGAGGCTAGACAAGGACTCGCCTCGCTTCTTGTTAAACTCGAGGAGAGCGGGATCCATCGCACCACATCCAGGATGCTGCATGAGATATGCGAGACTGGGCCTCCGACTGAAGGGCACACGTGATAAAAAAAGCCATATACTAAGCGGAGATCTTCACTTGAGAAGAAGATCATTACAATTGCCGGATGAAAGACAGCCACTTTCAGAGTCAACATGTCAGCCGCAACGATTCTCATCCTGTCTAGTGTCGATATTTAAGCCTTCTGGAGCAGTGATGCCATGAGGCAGGGTGCTTTTAAGTCGCCCGGGTACAATCTACTCCTGCATCAAGGGATCAACATTGCTAGCAGCGTTTATCTACTCTCCATAGCATGGAAGGACAGCTTAAGGGCGGAGCCGTAAAGGCAGAAATCGAAATCATATTTATTGAAGACGTTAATGAGTGTTGGACAGATAATTACATGAACTAGCTATTCTCTAAGCTGTCCCCATCGCACAAAGGGGATTACGACAGCGTTGACGGGTGGGGGTCCTGTAAAGGAATCAGCAAATGGTTTAACTTCTCTCGGGCGTTCACCCAGGATGTAAACACAACTTACAGGAATAATTGTATACTTATCAATCAGAACCTTTCCATCCTCACTTCGTCTGAAATGCATTCGGGCCGCCCAAGTGAAGGTGCTAGCTTGACCATCCTTGGACACATTGTTGCTTCGCCCATGAAGCATGACCTCCTCCGCCTTGGGCCCAAAGGGAAAGACGGCGTAGATGATGTGATCACGACTTTGAACTGGTTCCCAGGACTTGGTAACGAGATCAACAAGCTCTATGGACGACTCATACGTGGTTAGTCATAGAGGAACGTGCGGTATGTGCTCAAGGTTTGGTTTGCTTACTTTCTCTGCCCCTAACATTGGATGTTCCCTTCTTCAGCTCGGCATCTTCTGTGAAGTGAGACCCCCAAAATTCTAGGTCCTTGGTGTCAACAGCCATGTACAGGCTGGAGATGTGGGACTTAATGGCAGGATCGAGGACAGTATCGTCGCTTGCAAATGTCTTTGGACTGGGAGCCATGTTGTCTGTATACTGTATAGTGTTCTTCAAACTGATGTCTTTCGTTCACTGTTGACTTTTTGCCGGAAAAAGAATTACGAACACAGCGACGACAATATAATGTACACTTCAGAATAATGGAGTAATTAGCGCTGAACTATGGCTATCACACATCGTACCCCTCAACAGTTGTATTTGTAGGGGACCCTTGCATATCTCATGCCATGGAAGCTGTCGGGGACAGGCACCGACCAGACCAGGGAGGACTGTATCGGACAGCAACTGAATGTGGAGACCCTCTATCTTGCCATCGGACGTCGCCCCGACGGCGGAGGAGGGCGATATCAACCATGTGTCGGACCATACTACGATGAGCTGCACCCCATCCCAGACTAACTGACAACGTACCTAGTCGAATGCGGAGGCAACCCAGGATTCGGTCGAGATTTCTGGGGAAATAGTCATGGGATCAGGTTATCTCATGGTTAAGCGAGCTGGACAGTTCTAGGCGGGGCATGTAGAGGAACCCACGTTGTTGGCGGTAGCTCTGAGGCATGTAATTCCAGCCACTTCGAATCCGAAGGGCAGTGCTCTCGTCACAAGTGATGGAGTATCGACTTACGGAAGAGATTTCGAGTGTAAAGTTAAACATAATAATGGAAGATGCCAGACTCGACAACTTAACACTACGAGTATTAGAGTACTTTATAATTCTTGAGTAGTTCATTCACAGTTTCAATGATTTTGCTGAAAATACAATCGAAAAACTGTCAGATTACGCAATGTATTGGTAGAACTAAAAATCATATTTCGACGAGAAAGAAGAACAAGGCTAGAAGAGCCTGAGGACCTGGTAAACCCTGATTTCATGTTGCCTGATGAGCAGGCTGGTCAGTTCTCCTAACCGATGAGAACATTTTTCAGCTTGCCAGCCCATGTACGAGGAGCTTCTTCATCAGAACCACAAACCAACCAATCTCTGCGACCACTTGAGATATCTGCATCCGCAGAGTTGACCCATTTTGTCTCTGAAAGAAGAAAGAATTAATTAGCACAACTTTTCCGTACTGATTTACCACCATGATATGTGTTGGAAACTTGGGAAATAACAACTTACTGTGATAAAATTTCCATCCAACATAGAGGATTGCAAAAATGGGAATAACGAGGTAGGCGAAGATAAAGGCCTTGACATCGAAAGGGGATAGGAAGGTGGTATATCCGGAGATCAAGACGAGGAAGATATTGACACCAAACACAATCCAGGGGATGTAGGGATACCCAAAAGACTTGAATGGGAGTACAGAGGTCGAAACATCCTGAGCCTTCATCGCTTGACGGAAGCGAACGTGGGTGAGGCCAATGAATGCCCAGGCAATGAAGGCAGCGGATCCCGAGATGGAAAGGAGATAGTTGAATACATTCCCAGCGTTCTCGGAAATGTTCAGTAGAGAAATCAAGCCGAAAAGGTTCGTGAAGACAATGGCATTGACCGGGACACCATTCTTCGTGGCCTGGGCCAGGAACTTGGGGGCTCTGCCGACCTTGGCCTGGGCAAAAATGGTACGGCTGGCAATGTAAATAGCCGAGTTGATTGAAGAGAGAAGCGTCATGATGATGATGGCGTTGATCAGGTTACCAGCACCACCCCAGCCAGCATTGACGAGGGCAACGGTGAAGGGAGATGAGGCAGACTTGGATTTGGCGTTCAGTAAGCCTTCGGAGTTGGATGGAACGATGAGGCCGGTGAAGAATATCATGCCAACATAGACGATTAAGATTCTCCAAAAGGTTTGCTTGAGGGCCTTGGGGATATCTCGCTTAGGATTTCGAGACTCTCCTCCTGTGATCGCCACTGCTTCAGTTCCGGAGTACATGACAGCCGCCAGGACTAAGACCTTTCCGAAGCCGTTGATTCCATTGGCGAACGGTCCGGGATCTCTCCAATACCTAAAACCAATGTATTCACCACCAATTGCTCCGGTATCAAGAAGGCTGTCGAATCAGTTAGCAACCATTGTCTTCGCTGGCCTCGTATGGGCATGAATAGGCAAACGTACATTGCAACGAGATAAAGAATAAGGGTGACAGCAAATTTAAAGGACGCTAGCCAGAACTCCATCTCTCCGTAGACTAGAACGCCCAAGAGCGAAGTTCCCATGAAGAAAACCCAGCAGATCAGAATCCAGGCATAATTTGGGAGTTTGTCGGTCCAAAAGCTCAGGATCAAAGCAGCGCCATTGTATTCGTTCGCTAAGATAGTTCCCTATAAGCAGTATTGATGTTGTTAGAAATTTGATCACGGTCAAGGTAGCATAATCAAGAATGGCGAAGCTTCGTAACTCACCCACATGTACCAATAGTTCCACCCCAGAGCAAACGATAAGGCCGGGTCCACAAAGCGACCAGCAAACTCGTTGAATGAGCCGGTAGAGGGGAACATAGTGGCCATTTCTCCAAGAGACTGCGTGACGAAGAAGACATCTATACCGATGATGATGTAGCCAATGAGCGAACCCACTGGGCCTGCATACTGAAGAGCAAAACCAGTCGCGTAGAATGTTCCAGGGCCGATGACACCTCCCAGCGCAATCATCTGAAGATGACGGGACTTGAGGGCACGTCGAACACCATCGTCAATAACGTCACCCGTCTCATGGATGACCTTGCTCTCCCCAATGTCTCCATCAACCTCCGTCACCGGTGCGATTTCCTTGGATTCTGCCCCAGTCATGTTGTATACGTTCGTTTCGGTTATCGTTGTGCCAGTTCCAGAGCGGTGTTGCAAAAAAGCAAACAGGGACCCGTCTTTGGGAGTTATATATGTATCACATCCATGCTGTTGTCGGATGTTTGGAAATGGTTTATTTCTGCTTGCGTGACACCAATATCAAGAGCTAAGAAATCTTAGTTCTCTTCTCCGCCCAATTCTTGACTCGCCCAGTTTCCTGGTGGTTGCGGGCGGCCACAAGATTCATCGGAGGCACCCCGATGGGCCCCGAAGAGTGCCGAAACCCAATCAGCATCCTCACAGGGTGGTGGATCAAGCCCATCCTTATCTCTCGGGTTGGGGGAACCCTGTATCAGGAGAACTAGTGCTGGTGGCTGGGCAGATAGCTCAATCATCGACAAGGCCTCGACTGAATGATCGGTTGATGCGTGAGCGAGAATCAAATTGTTACTTACAACAAGTTTTGGCGTAAAAAATGAAAAGAGGCGGCTCCGTTCCAAAAGATGATGGTGCGTTATTCTTGCGATAAGAGTCTCCAATTGAAATGAATATTGAATTTCCATCTGCCTAACTTCTTATGATCCTTGTTCGCTAGAATCATGTTTTTCGAACTACAGCCTGCTCGCTATTGCCACTGAGGCTGCCTTGGTCACGAGGTATTCCTCTACGGCTACGTCCTTGCCCGCTTCCTTTCCGTATCCAGATTCCTTCATTCCGCCAAACGGGGATTCAGCACCCGTGATTGCACCTATATCAAGTTAGCTCTAGTTAAGGGGAGAATTTTAAGATCTGCATGATTTCATACTTGTGTTAAGCCCGATCATGCCGGCCTCAATTTCATCGAGCAGTCTCCAGGCTCGATCTAAATCCTTGGTGAACACGTATGAGGCGAGTCCCATCTAGACACAGCATCAAGTCAGTATAGAAAGAAAATTATGGGGATATAGAGCGGCTAATCTTACAGGGGTATCATTCGCAAGCTTGATAGCCTCTGATTCGTCCTGAAATTTATAAAAGGTGAGGATGGGAGCGAAGGATTCTTCATGCGTGACACGCATTTCACTTGTAGCATCGGCGATAATTGTAGGCTGGAAAAAGTATCCGGTAGTGTTTTCTACTCTCTTGCCTCCGAACAAGATCCTCGCTCCATGAATTTGGGCGTCATTTACTTGCTCTGATATGCGATCGAGGCTCTGCGGTGTGGTAACGGGACCCAATGTCGAATCACTCGAGCTGCCATGGCCAACGACAAGTTTGGAGGTCAGTTCAGTTAGCATGGATGCGAATTTCTCATAGACACCGGCTTGGACGTAGACTCGATTGGCACTGATGCATGCCTGGCCCGAATTTCGCCATTTGAGATTCATGAGAGCTGATGGGAGATGCAAGTCAGAAAAGTCTGCTGTCAATGTTTTGACTAATAATGCGAATGTACTTACCGGCCGCTGCTTGTTCCAGATCTGCGTCATCAAAAATGACAAACGGACAGTTACCACCAAGCTCAAGGGTGACTTTTGTGAGGCTATCCGAGCATATCTTAGCTATCAGCTTTCCAATTCTAGTCTGCGAGCATTAGGATGGCCGATTAGCACAATTAAATCCTAAATTTTATTGAAATGATTCCCATACCGAGCCAGTGAAAGTGACCTTTTTAACCAAGGCATGACGACAGAGAGCCTCGCTTAGGGCCGGAGTATACGCAAGGCTAGTTGTAAGAACATTTAGACACCCATTTGGAAAGCCAGCTTGCGTCGCGAGGTGTGCCAAACTGAGAACAGATAATGGAGTTTCTGGGGATGGCTTGATGATCATGGTGCATCCGGCAGCAAGAGCTGCTGCGGCTTTTCGGACCACCATCCTGTCAAAGGTTAGCCAAGATGAAGACAGCGAGAGAGAGAGGGAAAGGTATTAAACTCACGCAACAGGAAAGTTCCAGGGAACGAGTGCCGCTACTACGCCTATAGGCTGCTTGATGGTTATTACTTTCTTCCCAGGCATCGATGAGTCGAAGTAAGTGCCTTGGATTCTGTCGGCCTCTCCCGCAAACCACCATGTAGAGCTGATTGCGTAGTCCAGTTCGCCTGCAGACTCGGCGAGAGGCTTTCCGGTCTCATAAGTGATAATTTTGGCAATATCATTCTTGTGTTCTTTCAGGAGGAGGTGCCAGTTGAGCAAATACTGCGATCGTTGGCGTGGTGTGGTCTTGCGGTAGAGAAGAAAGGCATCTTGGGCTGACTGAACTGCAGGTTCCACATCTGAAGCATCATTCTCTGGAACAGATGCCCAATTTTCCCCTGTTCCAGGATCTAGAATTGGTCAGTGTTAGTATCGAGAATACAGACAATCTTCACTGGGCTGCGAGTTGAGCCAACCTGTCACGTGAAATCGTCTTCCAGATGCCGACGCTACCCAGGCGCCATTCACATAGGATTGGTCGTTAAAAAGCGATGGGCAGTCAAGCTGGCTTATTATCAGTTCCCAAATATCCTTCTATTGGTGATCATGCTGGCTGTGGACTCACCTGGAAAGGTAATGACTGGGCCATGGCGGTGAGGATAGCTTTACGTCTAGAACGGCAATTAAATTGATGAGATTTGTCTAGTTAGCTATCCAATCTTAGATAAATCTACACTTCAAGGTGATATACAGTGAGTTTTCACAATGAGATGGCGCAGTCTGGGTCCGATTCCAGTGCGACATCATCGGACGCTAAGGTCCGATCCAAGTCATGCGCGCACAACACGATGACAGATGCCCGAAGATCTCGGATTGATCTAGCTCAATGCCCTATTTGTCCAGTAAACATGGGCTCGGACAGCGTTAGGAGCCCACTGAAAATGATTGGGGACTGGGGAACGGACTTTGGCGTTAATGTGACTGCTTGGCGGAGACCCTGTCACTTAAGAACCATCCTCTTCAGTCTTCACATTCACATGCGGCAGCTGCCATGAATTCTCAGTATTGATGGGCTGTCTAGAATAACATACCTCTCTATTAGTTCTACACTACAGAGAAGATGACATCCCTTCTCCCCACCGGAAAGCAAATCAACCTCCAGTTAGGATGGCCTTCTCCGTCCCTCTTCCCAAGCGAGGCCCTCAACGCAGCTGCAACTTCTGTCCTGAGTAGCTTCGATGCCGCCAGTTCCGCTCTGGTCTACGGCCCTAGTCGTGGCCATGTTACTCTTCGCAGCCAAATGGCGAAGTTCCTCGGTTCCATGTACCACAATGATTCCCAGGCGATTGAGGAGAGTCGCGTATGCATTGCGGGAGGCGCTTCGCAGAATCTCTCCAATGCCCTCCTCCGGTTCGCCGATCCCTCGTACACCAGGCGGATTTGGATGGTGGAGCCAACCTACTTCCTGGCTTGTCCGGTGTTTGAGGACTGCGGCTTCATCGGCAAGCTGAGAGGCGTGCCAGAAGATGACGAGGGCATCGATCTGGACTTTCTCGCAAAGGCGTTGGCTGAAACCGAGGCTGAGTATGCCAGTCAGGGCGAGCAAACCCGGCTCAAAACAGCAGCCAATGGATATGAGAAGATATACAAACACATCATCTATGTTGTGCCCACATTCTCGAACCCTAGCGGTAAAACAATGTCATTGAAGCATAGATACGACCTCGTCCGTCTTGCTATAGAGTATGATGCACTTGTCATTTCGGACGACGTGTACGACTTTCTGAGCTGGCCGCACGAGAAGAAGAACTACGTGGAGGGTGCAAAGCTAGAGATTCCCCCTACACTGGTGGACATCAACCGAGAGCTTGACCCTAAAAGCAAATGGGGCAATACGATGAGTAATGGCTCGTTTTCCAAAATTATTGCTCCGGGGGCGCGAGTATCGTGGGCAATGGGCACCCCGGCATTTGTTAATTTCCTTGCAACCACGTAAGTTCAATCATCGCTCTTCCAATGTATCAAACTGAAGACTAACAGTTGTGGTTTTTTCATAAGCGGTGCTTCCATATCTGGAGGAAACCCGGGCCACCTCAGTTCAACGTTTGTCGAAAACATGTTGTCCTCAGGAGCACTCCAAAAACACATCGAGAAGAATCTGATACCAACTTACGCATCTCGCTACTACGCTATGGTTAATGCCATCGAGGAATATCTGGAACCTCTCGGCGTTAAAATTATAACGGGGCAGCCTTATTACAGTCGCTTTAAAACAAGTGACGGGGGCTGCTCGGAAGCGAAGGTTCAGGTTGCCGGTGGATTCTTCTTGTCGATTGCCTTACCCAGCGTATATCAAGATGTTCCTGGCCTTGCGAAGTCAGCTCTGGAGAAGGATGAGTTGAAGATTGCGTACGGAAAGATGTTCGAGGTCAAGGGAGACGGAGGCAGCAAAGAGAGATCGAAAGCCAGCTTTGGCAATTCCATCAGATTGTGTTGGTCATTTCATGAAGAGGAGGCTATCAAGGAAGGCATAATGCGATTGAGAGGTGTTCTTCTAAGCTATGGGAAGAATATTGCTTGAATCCTATATATTGATGTTAGAAATTGAAGAGGTATTATTATTTCTAAATAATGCAATTAGATCTCGAGATCTTTCGGGACATCTACCAGCATTGAATGATCACATAGAGTCTGTGCTATTGACTGGATAGAAGTTATTCTGACTGCCCAAAATTTATTCATTGATGCCAGACATTAGAAGTTATCCTTCTACAAAGAACTGAACAATAATATCAGCAGCTGTCGAGGCATCATCTTCGATCCGTGCGGCTACAAGTGCATCCTCGAGGAAAGTTTCCTGCCAGCCGACACGCTTTCCTACCAACTTTAGGCACTCTTCTTCAATGAACTGGTCAAATTCAGGATGCCCCTGCAATGTTAAGAGCCTTCCTTGTTGGTATATGCCCTGGTTCTGGCATTGGGGAGTGGTGCCAATGACGTGAATATCCGCTGGGAGTTTCTCCCTAAAGAAGACGGTATCAGCATGTAAGTACTGAAGCAACAGTTTGTTGTCATGAAGCAGGTTTGAGAACCTGGTCACGAAATAGTCTGTGAGCTGGACGCTATGCACTCCCAACTCCCAGCCTGCTGGATCCTTTGTCACAACAGCCCCCTCGTCGGTGAACAGTGCGTGGCACACAACCTGGTGGCCAAAACATGAGCCGTATATTTTAATGGCGGGGTAATTGTGATACACGTCTAGAGGCAATTTAGTTCTGTGTGCCATCGCACATCGGCATGAGATTCATACCTGAAATAAAGCGATTCAATGTTTGTATCCATTCCAGTTCTTCATAGGCGCTATTTGGTGAACCAGATATGATAATGCCATCGATATCCTCTAGTGATGGTGGGTACACTTGGTTAACGGTATCCCATCCCGAGATTTCAAGCTTCACTCGTCGGCTACCAGTTCCCTTCCGGTTTGCTCGCTCTGCTGCTGGCTGCAGTATTGCACCAAACAGATCATGATACTGCCCTCGGGCTTCTTGTATGCTCTGGCATGTGTAGCCGCAGTTGAGGACTGCGATATTAAGCGTCTTCCCGATCGCCATATTATTAGAATGGCCCCGAACGGTTGTGAATAAATAAGTATCAAAGAAATTCCTGTCGATAACGCGTATCTTGTTGGTTCTGCTCGCCGATATATCTGAGCCTTTCGCTGTCAATATGCTGGCCTTAACACGCTGCTTCCAACCTTCAGGGAGGTGAGAGTTACCCAGTTTTCTTAGCAATAGTTGAACAACTTAAGGTGATAGGAGATAGATTTATGCCGACAAAGTCCGAAGACGCCAAATGACCCACAACAACCAACACCATCTTTCGGACCAAGACTCCGACACACACCAAACAACACGGAAACAGACTTTTCTGTCCAAATCCGGGGCCAGCAATGTCCGCCCAGTGGGCTACCCTGTCGCCTAGTCATATCAATCATTAACCAAATCGCCAATCTGGAGACTGAACGACCTCCACGCACCACAGCCTGGCTATTCGAGTGAGACGGAGGAAGTGACAGAAGCGCAGAATGTCGCGGCCAGTTGAACAGGATCCACCTGAGCCATCGGGAACCTCATCTAGGAGACCGAAACCTTTGGCCTGTGCCCGCTGCCGACATCGAAAGCAGAAGGTGAATGCCACCTGTTGCCCCTCTTCCAACCCAGCAGAGAACTCCCCCAGTGTGTCTGTTCGTTCTAGATCTGACCATTTCTCTGTTTCTCGTTGCAAAGTGTACCGAAGTGCGGCCCTGTGAAAACTGTATTCACTCCGGTGCCGGTAAACTAGACCCCGGCCCATTCGTTCTGCCAGTCATATCCAGCAACTAAGCGATATTAACCCCTTTGTAGAATGTGTCCCCGCCAGGTCAAACATATCGAAACCACCTTTGGAATCTGAGTTTGTCTAACCACCTTCAGTGGCTCCAAGTGTTATACTGATCATGGCTGCCTGTTGTCTCTTAGATATGTGCATCGACTAGAGGAACGGATAGCACAGCTAGAACGGCTCATACCTCAGGAGAGCCTGGATCACATCGATGGAACCTCTCGGACTAGAAGCCAACCGTCACTACCATCACCAACAAGAGATGTACAGGTACGACAAGTCCAGTTTTCAGAGCTGTGCCATGTTGAATGCCCGTCCACACACTCTCTCGTACACTGTTTCATGCATTCACTTACTATTCTTACCCACTCAGCCGACTGGTCCACGACTGCGCCCCGATAATGTATATCCAAGCCATGTCGAGCCTGCTGCCACTCTCCATAATGAAGCCATAACTGCCCCAGGCCCAGCATTACCCCTGGTGCCGACCCCACCCGACCACACATTGTTCGCAGCCCTATCAGGGATCTCTCATCAAGCTTCCAGCCTAGATACGTCAGTATGGCCTGAGGTCGTCGATTTAGACACCCAGACGGAGCAGTTTCTCATCCAAACTTACTTTGAAATGGCTCATTCTCAGTACCCCTTTCTTCTCAAGCATCAATTTCTAGGGTGGATCGATAACTGGAGAAATGATAGGACTTCTTTACCTCTGGAAATGAGGTGGAAGGCCTTTATCATACACATGGTGAGTGGATTTGAATGGCTCTGTCTCTTTCCTTAGCCAATCAATCTTTAACTTCTATTATTTCGTGCTCTCAGGTTTATGCCATTGCCTTTCTTATGACAAAGGCTCGCGTTAATGGGAGAGAAAGAGCTGAGGTCAGTCTGGTCAGATTGGAATTGACACCGTCATGCGAATGGTATTCTGACCTTCTTTATCTCCCCCTCAGGCGCTGTACTCTCTGGCAACCTCAAGATATCTTTCTTATCTAGTTTCAGCACCCGACCCTGTCATTCGGGCACAAGGTCTCCTCCTATTAACCATCTACGCTCTCCACATGCCATTCCAAGAAAATATCATTTCCCTTTCGTCCTGGACCATGCGATTCTGCATCATGGCGCAACTACACCTGGCAGAAACAGAGCCTCAGCCTACCGATACCGGCGCCTTATTGCAGATCCAGCATCGCCGGAAGATTTTCTGGTGTGCCTACGCGATTGATCGAGCAGTTTGCAGCTCGTTTGATTTTCCGACCTCGATTCCAGACAATCACATAACAGTCGATGTGAGTGCTGCTAGATTCATTGCCAAATCATCGTGTTTGCTAAATATGGTGGTGCAAGATCTTCGATAATATCGACGATGATTTGCTCCTCGAGGTAGCCTCTTCTACACAACCAGGTACTCCCCTACGCGGATACTCGGGCTACACCAATCTGTCGACAGCTCTCCACGTCCTAGTAGGCCGACAACTCGAATCAGAGATCCAGAACACAGTGCTCGACAAGACCTATGTGCCGCACTCTGACGTGACGTTCACATGGCGCATCAAACTCATGGAAAAGCTCAAAGAGTGGAATAAAGGATTGGAGCTGTCGTGCAAGCCCACCCAACGGGGTTATGTGAGTCCCGGATGGCTCACGATGATTTACTACTACAACATTGTCATGCTTTTCCGGCCGACGAGACGCACAGCCCACGGCATCTCGGGTGATTGGTCTGTACAAGCTTGCTGTCACTCGTTGGTTCTATTCCGGAGGTTCCAGATGGCAAGAGAGATTGCCCAGCCGTGGTTAGGGGTAAGAGTTCCCCATTCCGATTTACATTATTTCCTTTTAGTTTGTGAGAAATTGCCTGACCGTGCATCTTCACCATATCTAGCTTCTTACGCAATTTCAAATCGGAGTCACCTTGCTCTACTGCTTCTTTGCGACCCCGCCCTCACGGTGGAAGGACTCGTACACGTCACCCGACGTTTCTGACGCTATCCGGGCCTGCTCTAGCACCTTGGCCATCCTTGCAGAGCGTTGGGCTGAGGCCGAATGCATCCGAGACACCTTTGAGCTTCTAGCAGGCGAAATACCGATCGGGTTGACGTGGGAGAGACCAGCCATGATTAGCGCAGCAGCTAGGACTGGCATCGAGGAACACTGGGCCGGCCTGAGCAAAGTAGTCATCCACCAACCCACACTGAGGATGATTCGAGAGATGGCGACGGAGCCTTTGGTGGCTGATTTTGAGATCCCCTCCGAGTTTGAACATGATAACTCCGTGACTGTTGACATCATGAATTCGTTGGAAGGTGTCACGCCTCCCATGACTGAGGAGTTGCATCGCCAGTGGATGGGAGACCTTCAGGGCGGATTGGGGGAGGGCTTTGACCCAGCACCGGATCTTGATTTTTCAAATAGGATATACTTTAGCTTGTAGCAAGGCCAAAGCTCAATAAGTTCAATGAAAAACTTCGCCAAACTCACTTATCGTTAGATCTTACTCCGTGTTCCGCGAGACATGTCATAAAAGGGACAAATAGCACTTCACCGTGTCCAATAGCCGTATGATTTTGTCATCAAATTTCACAATGCTCAGTATTATTAGAGCGAGGAGTTGGTACGTAAGTGAATATTTACTAGAAACATTCTCGTCATGTATTGTCGAGTTGACCTCACGATTCATGACCCATGTTAATACAGTAACAAATGACTTTCAAAGAAAGCGTCTACTCATTTTGTTGAGTTTTCGGGCTCTGATAGCTTCCATTGCTGTTAAACTTTATTCTCTTTCTCTTACGTATCAAGGAAATAGTCATCCTAGCAAAATTTTACTCAGCCACAAAGTTATCACAATATTTCCATTATAAAAACCATAGTGTTCTATCTTTATCTAACTTGGCTGTTTATAGCTTGGAGCTGCCACAGCAGGCCCCGCTCTTACTCCCAGATGCCGGTGCCTCCTCAAACAGGACGCTCTTATTCATCCTCTGAGTACTCTGCGGGACGTCCAAAGCAGGGTTCTGTTCAAAGAAACCGCTAGGCTTCAAGCTAACCATCATGGTCTCGCAAGGCATGACGGGATAGTCTTCAGGTCGAGGGTTATGCGTCAAGCTGACCGAGTGCCACAGCACAATATCCTCGTTGTCCACCTTGTCACCCCGCTTTGCCCAAGTAGCGACATCTCCCTTGTTTACAGTGTCATCTTCCATAGCTACGTCGTCTGGGAGCGACTGGTAGGTGTAATCACCTGCGGCATAGAGTTCTCCATCGCGGTAGGCCGTGACCCAGTAAGGGTGAAGAGCGAACTTAGCCCGCTTGCCATGCCATGAGTCAGGGTGGGCGAGGAGCATCTGCTTCTGGGGGCTGTGGATGGCATATGCAACCGGCTTGCCAGAGATCCTGTTGATGACCGAAGGGTTAACGATCTTGTGTACGCGGTTGTTGACGGCCTGCGAAGTTCCCGATGTGGACACGACGTTGGTCTTGGTGATATAACCCACGCCACATGGGTTCTCGTCATCGAAGGGCATGGCTACAGAGTCTTCCTCGATGAGACTGTTCTTGTCTCCGTCTAACGTAGGGTCGATACGCAGAGAGAAAACGTGCTGATGATAAGGGGCCATAACGCCGTGGTTGACATTTGTTCCCCAGGGAACTTTGACGCCGGGCGCGATGGGAACGGTTGAGAGAATTCCGGTTGCCTGGATGATGTAGTGAAGGCCGGCTGCTTGGTCGAAATGCCACTTGAAAATGTACTCGTAGTTGCCGACAGTAATGATAGTCTGGAGAACGAGGACTCGCGATCTCACAATTGATACTTCCTTTGTGGCGCCGTCGGTATGCTTCCAGCCGATTCCATCATCAATCTCGTGCATGCAGATTGCGTTCGGCTTGGGGACTGGGTTTCCATTAGAGTCGCTAAGGGTAAAGGAAAAGTACTGTTATTTGTCATTCATCAGTTAACAATCTTGACCCTTGTCTCCTCATATTCGCGGAACGAACTTACCTTGATCAATCCTAAACAATCGCATCCGAGAGCCAAATTGTTCGCTGCAACTCCAGCTCCAATATCTCCGACGTCGAAAACACTCTTTCGTGAGTAAGGTGTTCTAGGGTCTCCGTAAGGGACAAACATCTCGCTCAGACTGAGTCTGTGGAAGAGCTCCCGTCCGTCATAGGTGACATCGTGAATGACCATGCCTTCCCGCCAGTTGAATCCAACTCTGAATCGCCACTTCTGCCACTGCACAAGGTGTTCATCCACTGTGAATGACGCACCCAATGGTTGGTGGACTGTGAGGGGCTTCAAGTCAGCCCGCTTGGGCAGAGAGTTCAGGTCATGGTGCCATTCTTTGTTGACGTGAGGGATGTGCTTCACTTCTGGAGTGGTGGAATGGTCCGACTCCAGGGGGAGTTCAATTATATCGATGAGTTCCTTAGTGAGGTAGTCAATAACTGGCGAAAAGGGCAGGGGGTTGTCGTAAGAGTTATAGCCAGGGTGAGACCGATCCTTTGCGTAAAGATAGCACTACCATGTAGGCGAATAAAGTCAGCCAAATTGCCTTGTTCTTGTTTCTTTGTGTGAGACTATAATCACCTGAGCAATTCTTCGATTCAACTGGTCAGAATCTCGCCCATAGGGCCAAGTATCGCAAACCACCGTCATATTGTCGGGTAGTCCATAGGATTTGATCCGATCAATTACCTTGGGATGCCTAAGACAGGCATCTCTCACCTCGACGACCTCGTCCATGTCGGCTTGCCCATAATAGCGAGATTCAAGCTTCTTGATTTTGGCGACTCGAGAGGCGTCAAGGTCCACGGTTGCAACGAATAGGTTTGGCGTTCCACGGTGATAGTACAGAGCCGAGGCATGTCGAGGCAAGGCAGGGAGCGGAACAGAGCCATTTCTCTCCGCAACTAAGTATTTTCGAAGGGACTTTTTGGGTGGCTCGATCAGATCAATGTTCTTGAAATGAACAGTGTTATCCGGGTTCGCTTTCTTGATCAGGGACGAGGCCAGCCTGATCTCAGCCGGAGTAAGGGGGTCCAGCGAATGCATGTTTTCCTATGCTTTGGAAAGTAATAGAACAAGAAGAGCGCAATGTGGACTTAGATTGCTAGTTTAGACTCAAACAAGGCATAAGCAAGCCCAATAGGCGATGAACTCGTTTAGAGGTTTGGAGGTAATGGGAAAATAGCTTTAGTGTCGATTCCGTAGTTGATAATGTGTATATATACCCCAAGAAGAGTGAGAGGGGCAGCAATGTCTGACCAAGCTTGGTACCCATCTAGCTTCCGATGATATGCCCCCATCTTCCATCACGCCTCCACAGATTCTAGTCAGGGTCCACGTACGGGGTGAGTCTGGGATGGGTTGCATCGTGACTCGTGACCTCAGCCCACTCCGATAAGCCCCGCCCATCGGGCAGGTTGGGATAAAACGCCCGATGGCGCCGATAAACTTGCTGCTTGGAACCAGAAAGTCGGCGCTAAGATGCCCCTATTCCACATTTCGGAGCTAGCTGTCCGAGATTCGGTTGTTCGACGGCATCAACTGAAGAATGATTTGCCAATGGCAAAGTTCCACCCCATCTCTAGCCTAAGGGTCCGATCTTACTAACCTTTTTTTGCTTACCAGGCATCTCCCTCCTTGTTAAACCTCTTCTGGTCAACTTCTTGGTTGCTTATGATATCCTTGATGGATTTGGAAACGACTAGGCGATGAAGGCTTAGACAGGAGGAACAAAGATAGAATGACACCCAACCTACGCATTAGTCACACATCATTTATGGAAGCCAATGTCTACTACAGTACAAGTTTCGGCTTATAGCATTACAGCTTCACATCAAACTTCAAGCGAATCTAGTCCTAGTCAATGTTATAAAACAGATCACATACCTGGGTATGGTGTCAAGTTGTGAAACTATTGGTGTTTGGGAATTTCCCTTTTTTTTTCTCAGCAGCTGTATAGCTCCCTCACTTACTACTACTATAGAATATATAACGTCCTCTTTTGTAGAAGATACTGAAATGCAGATTTTCCCCGCTTGCCCTCCAGAAATAAGAGGAGGGAAAAACATAGAATGTTAATATTAACATGATCGAAGTGTGTTCATAGCCGAATTAGCAGTTGTTCTTCTGTCTCGCGCCTTGATATTTTCTTTTTCAATTTGGATTCGGGTGACTAGAAACCAAAAATTCATTATGATGATACTAAAATGTTTCATGTCGTATAAGTCGTGGGCTAGACCAGTTATAGGAGTAGACCTTGCTCTCTTGTGATTGATTTGAATATATTCGCAATTTTGGTTCCCTGGCCATAATCGAGTGCAACCTTTATCCACTCACAACTTTAAATGTTGCAAACTTCACTGTTTCTCTACAACATTTCACTTGCGCGGGGTTAAATGGAAGCGTATCATAGACTGATTTATTTCCAAAGGCCTGTGGAGTAGTATGATAGAGGATGGGGGAGCTGTTATAGGGTAGCTTATTTTAAATGGCAATTTTGTCCTAACTCCCTGAAGTGGCTGGATTCACCGCTTTGCTGACAGTTGAGTACCTTTTTAGTGTATTTCTGGCTCAATCACTGGCGGGCAAGAAGCCTACACATCAGAATCTTTTGCGTAAGCTGACCCCTCTTCTGGTCTTTGATATCTCACCACCTGTGATCGGTTTCTGGAGGCAGCTTGCTCGCAATGGACTGGGAAAGGTACCCTACTGTTCAATTCGATGGCCAACTTGTCGACGGCGACTTCTCGACAGTTGCCGCAAATGACGACACGGATGCTGACCAGCAAATCGAAATAATCGAGCAATGGGGGCCATTAACTGACCTCATTCTGAAAACAACCCGAGACGCGTGGGACGAGAGCCCGTATTTTGACGCGTCATCTCCCAGCGTCTTCCAGTCATATTGGCAACGCGTCTTCTCAGAGCTCCATGCCTTTGTTGTCACGAATAAAGACATCCCTCAATACGTCACTGAACCGCCTGTCAAGGGATTCGATGTTGATGTTTTCGATCAGCATCCGAACTGCTGTCCTTGCGGCCTTCCCAGTGTCCCTCAAAATATCAAAATCTTTCGCCCAGATGGTGTAACTAAGGGCGATTTCATCAAGGCTGTGGGCACATACCTCTACGGCGATGCCCTCCCAAGGGTCTATTCTCTTGAACACGGTAAACCCATCCAGCCCACAGGCGTGATGGTCTATCATATCAACTGGATGTCTCAAAGAAGCAGTACTGGAGGAACGGCCGCATTTCCGTGCTACTTTGCTCCGGGTCATCAAATCGTGTCCGTCGTCTTGTATTGCTGCTCGAAAGGGGATTTCTTCAAGAACAAGGCGCAAGTGGAAGCAGAGAAGGAGGAGAGCCGAAAGAGGGCAGAAGAGCGCAGGATGCAAAGAGAAGAGAAGGAGAAGGCTTCCGAAGGTAGCCAGAAGGAGACTGAGGATCTGAGGAACGAGTTGCATGAGAGAAAAAAGGAGGAAAGGCTCGGAAGAAAGCGGCAAGAGAAACTGCGTGACACGAGCCGGGCGGCGGAGAGAAGATTTATAAATGCAGATGAGTGATATGTTACATGAGGATGGGTTTGATCGTCAAAACTAAGCATTGGTCGAACTTCTTCTGGCCATTTTTACTACGGTAGAGTTTGTAGGGAATTCGGGATAAGCCACTTGCGTTCGTTATTGTGACAATAGGCATGTAAAGCTACCTTGTAAAACGAGAGAGTATTGAAGCTCATCACGAGGATCCTTTTAAGGTGAATCTTAAAGTTCAAAACCATTTCGATGTTTTTGAGTCTGCTATGAGCGATCAGTTGCAGAATAATGGGGCCGTATCTCTAATAAGATTTACGGAAGATTTACATATAGTCTCATAAAATATATTGATCACAGGGTTTCTGGGCAACTGGAGAGTTTTTGAAGTCACACATGCCCATACTGATAATTTCATCTTCATCGAGCAGGGTGATTATGAATCATCCCACCCCTCCTTCAGTATCACACGAAGAATATTAAACAATTCACCACCATGATGTGCAACAACAACTTGTTAGCTAGTTGAGAACCTCACATTCTCTGATGAGGTTCATTCGCTCTTTGGCCCACCAGCAGGACTAAGGCCCAAAGAAAGCAAAGCTCGTCTCCAAGCCGGAAGCCTAGCGTATCCGTCTAGATAATGAATCTCGTTGACTCGTAGGACATTGCGGCCAGTGGTCAGATCCGCTGTCGCAGGGTCAACCCACTTCGTGCGGCGAATCACTTTGTAGGCGAGGCTGAACACGATGATGAGCAAGAGACCAATAGTGTACTGGAAAAAGTTTGCTGCAGTAAATGAACCACCCTACAGAATTAAAAATTAGTGTGACTGAAAGAATATGAATGTGGGAGGAACGAATACCGAAGGGCTAATTGCAAGGTAGAGTAGGCAAACTAGCAGTAGCGTGGAAACGATGATGAGATAAATAGGGGTAAAGATGCCTAGAGCAGCCTTCCATCCATACTCTTCGTCTAGTAGATGGTCATTCTGTGCCTTCAATGCCTGGCGGAACCGAAGGTTCGAGTAACCAATGATTGCCCAGTTGCTGAAAAAGGAGGCGCTGGTAATCGCAATAAACCAATTGAGTGCCTCGTTACCACCCTCTAAGGAAACAAATGTATGAGTCTTGAATGTCCGTGTATTGAGCATAGATAAGAAACATACCGTTGAGACTTAAATAGGCGAAGAATACGCCAACCACTGACGTGATGGCTAATGCCCAGCGAGGGCGGCCGAGATCATCGACATTCGCAATTCTTGCGGGTAGCAAACCTTGCAGAGACATGGTGCGCAAGACCCGAGAAGGGAGATAGATGCTCTCCAAGGCAATAGCTACAATACCAATAATGATGCACGTGTTCACCAAGTCGGGGATGCCTTTCAAACCTGCGTTCTGAGCGGCAATCACAAAGGGAGAAGCTGCTGCGCCGGATCCTCCAAGCAGGTTCGGATCATCGGAAGGAACTATGATGCCGATGAAAACGACGCATACGAGATACATGACGGCGACACGGATAGGGACAAAGGTAGAAGAATGTGCCATCGAAACACGAGGCATACTAGCTTCTCCAGCCATGACTCCGATGAACACCTGGTCCCCCACAGCCCAGATGGCCATCATGGCGCAGTTAGCGAAACCCTACAACCATCAGTCAGTCTATTTCCACTGTATTATGTTCAATTCACAAGAGGCTCTCACAGTAAAGCCGTTTTGGAAGCCTTTTCCATCTCTCCAAGAACTTCCATCAAGCTTTTGACCAGTCGGACCGGCGCCGGCAATCAACGCGATCGAAAGGCCGATGATGAAAAGGAATAGCACGATCTTGACCATTGATCCGAAGGCTTGGAGCCATCCGAAGATCTTGTTCGGCATGAAGAAGACGATGAGGCAGATCACATTGAAGATAGACACTAGGAGGAAGCTCGTTAGCAAATGGCACTCAAGTTGTTATGGCCACCAAGGGTAACCGACGAAGTGCTGCTTGTGGTACGACCCCCTTCGCCCAATAGTCAACCAACACAACGAAGAAGACAGCTTCTGCAGCAAAGACAGAAGTCCAACCTAAGAGATGTTAGTGGGATAGCTAAATGTGAACTGTGTTGGGGACGTGCTGACCGAGCCACTCCGCAAAGCCGGCACCAAAAGCCAATGCAGGATCTACCCATCTACCAGCGTAGTCGATGAAGTTCCCTGACACAGGAAAAGCGATTGTCATTTCTCCAAGTGACTGCAAGTTGGCCCAGACACCAGTACACACGATAAGGTAGGCGATGAACATGGTACCAGGCCCGCCTGCTGCGAGGGCCTTTCCCGTAGCGATGAAAAGACCACTGCCCACACTTGAGCCCAAACCAATAATCTATGAGGAAGCATTAGTTTTTGGGTTGCCACGGTCTCAATGTCTGGGTGTTTGCATGCATGAATCTGTCGCGGAGTCAAGGTTCTGTGAAGCGCCCCCGAGGACTCCTCAGTCCGGGTGATTTGCCCAATTTTCTCAGAGCCATGAGAAGCTACACGAGAAAGGCCCTTCTTTTCGTCTATAGCTGGAGCCGATGGTGCAGGCATGTTGATGTCTGAGTTTAGATTTTGCTGCGTCATTGTAATTGTTAAATGAGTCACTGCCTTGAAAGTTGATTAAAGAGCCTGGGTTGGAACAGGGACTCCTTGATTTTTGTCTCCTTCAAGCTCAGAAAAGAGGGGGAGATGATTGTATTTAAGATGTTCCACAATGGAGCATTCAGGGAATATGTCATGATCCACGATCAGTCTGGGGTAAAGATTTGGGTACGTTTGGAAAGCTCGGGAACTATAACCGACCTCACGATAGGCTGAGAAACAAGCGCAATCTACCTACCTCCACCTCCAGGTTTCTCTAATCTCAATGCGTATCTTTTTTGGAGATAATCCATGTTCTCGAGGCGGAACTAGTGCTCCTTATCACAAGACCAGCTACTGACATGACTCTTGACGAGCCCCATTGGGGCAGTCCTATTTGGAAAACCCGCGGTTAGCACTACACCAACAGACGACATTCCCGGGGTATGGATCAAAGCCATATCGCTGAGAGCTGATACATGTTGGCAATTATTAACTTGTTGTATCGTGAATATGTCCACACTGCTAGGTGAATGGTTATGGTTTGTCGCCAAAAGCCCCTTGGCGGCATATTCGAGTTTGGGCTCTCTTGAGCGACGCAAATTGAGTCAATAGGACAGGTGCTCTGTTTCTCATTTTCCGCAAGACTGTAATTCTTTTTTGGGAAGAATTCTCAATCAACCAAGACGTGCAAATATTGTATTTTAAGGATTTGTAGCATCATGTCCAAGCTCCTGATTTTGTTGGAGGAGTCAGTGTCTTGAAACCAGGCATGATACCGCATACCCTGTTTCCATCAAGCCAGGCAGGTCATCCCGACAATCAGTTTCCTTGCTGATCATTATCTATATAAGAATCGAATTGCAGATATGGCACCAGTACCCCATGGGGCAGCTCATGTGAGATCTAGCCGCTCCTTTTTTAGGCTTCGGTTATCATGAACCAGAGAGATGGAATTTAGCATAGGAAGGTGTTGGGGTGGTTCGGAATTTGTTCCCGATCCTCTTTCGTGGCTATCTCGGCTGCCCGCTCCGCTGGGGTTATCATAACAAGCCTTGCCAAGGCCCTGTTCATCTTATATATATGTGACAGAGATACCTTATCTATCAAGGTTCAATTATTTCTCATTGTCCGATCCACAGTCTGATAATCGTTGGCATACTAGAGAGTAAGTGTAGCCGACCGCACAATGCGGCCGCTCAATTTCGATTACAGTGTTGCGCTATCGAACTTGAGGAGTTTGGACTTCTCACGATGAGGACCAGATTAACATGACTGTTCGAGGACCTCCTGGTCACTTTGATACCGAAATCGCAGCTTAAATTGGTGTCAATAACATGGAGGGGATCGGCCACAGCATTAGTACAACCTAGTGTTATAAGACTATGTGAGCATTATTGTTGGCGAAAGCTGTACAAACAGAGGGAATTTCGCTTACAGCTGCAATGTAGTGAGAACGTTAGTCATGAGGTTCCTGCTAAATATCGGGGCTCCTACACTAAGGCACTGGTGCGCGGTATGTTCAGTTCAAAAAGAAGTTTGGTTAAACGCAACTACCACTGGTGTAGTATTTTGGTCATGATACGCAAAGGACTGTATATAAAGGTTTCAACATCTCAGACCCTACCCGCGCAGCGAAGTAAGAGTAACAATACTCTACACAGGCGTTGTCATTGTCTTCAATGCTACCTGATACTGCTCCTCGCTTGCTTCCTTTCCCAACAACCACCCGAACCCCTTCAAGACATCCATGTTGTGCGTGGTTGCGACGGGAAGTGTGGGAAAGAAATACGGTGCTGCATGGGGAATACCCGGGTATACATCCAGCTTGGTCTTAACGCCATGCTTCCGCAAGATCCTTTCGTAGATCAAGCCATCGTCCCTCAACGGGTCCTGACCGCAGACCTGGACGAGGGTTGGTGGAAGCCCCGTGTGTGCTCCCTGCTGGTTGACAGGAGAGAAGTCGGGCGAGGTGACGTCCGGATTGTACGAGCTGTGAATAAAGTCCATCGCTTCTTTGTTGATGATGATAGCTTCGGCGTTTTGCTCTTTAGAAATCCACAACTCTCGCTGATCGTCGGGGACGATTTCGTCAACAAAGAGGAGCGGAACGTTCAGCCATACACCACCGATCGAGGGCGATTTGGCACTGGATACCCATTGCTGGGCGAACACTGCCGAGAGGTTCGCTCCAGCCGACATCCCGCCCACAACAAAACCCTTGTTCAGATTTAAACCAAGTTCTTTTGCATTCTCTGGTTCCACCAACCATGTGATGGAATCCCACACGTCATTAGGCGCCGTCGGGAACTTGAACTCTGGAGCGAGGCGGTAGCTGATGTTCACAACAGTTGCACCATACAGAGATGCAATAGCCCTAGAATAAGGCCCAAATTGTGAGTAGTGCCCCATGCAAAAGCCACCTCCATATATGAGGACCACCAACGGGCCCTCTGCCAAATCATCCGGCTTGTATACGCGGATTTCGTGAGTGTGACCATCACGCATCTTGATGTAGCGAGACCACTCGGTTTTCAGCTGCGGGCTGGAGGGTGGGGGATGTTGGCGAAACATCTGTACCATTGCCTCGAACGACATAGATGCCAGAGCACCTGCCGAGCCGTCCTTGAGCATCTGGGAATGTCAGACAAGTACTAGGGATGGCTGGTATTTCAAATTCAGAGACATACTTTGGCCATATCAGGGCTAAAAGTCTGGATTAGTATGAGAACAAGCCCGGGACAGACGTCTCAACTTACTCAATGTTTGCTAGTTCTCGGATGGCCTCCACCGAGGTATAGGGATCTTCCTGCACAGACATATTGGCTTTCCTTCTGAAGAATACGATATGTTTCCACAGGGAGATGAGGAGGGGTAGAAGAAAAGGAAGAGGATTATAACGGATGCAATCAAAGATCAGTCATCGCGGAGATAAAACATCCATCTCACCGCCGGCTACTTCTTCCATCCGAATGTCAAGCCAAGCGCGAACCATGTGACGCGAACCCTGTGTCCCCGCGCTGGTCTGCTCTTGACTCGGTTACAGTCACATCAGCAATCTCATAAACGGAAGATGTTACCCAGCAATGACGTCGCCAAGAAGTCAGCAATACAGATTCATGGCGACAAGCGGTACAAAATGAGCCCTTATCACCAAAGATCTTAGTCCCATTAAGAATTGTGCACAAGCTTACTTAAACCCAAAAAAAGACGTGGGAGAATCAAGAGTGGCCAAGTTAGCCATTAATGTACTGTTAGGTAGTAATGTGAGATGGAGTGAGCTCAACAGATGCTTTGCACGCCGACCATACCGGCTGAAGAACGCGGGTGCTTGCAATGATAACTCGCATCAACCGTAAGCCAGATTTCAAAAGCAGAAGCAATGCTGTCACTTTCAAATAAGAAGAAATAATAGCGGTAAATCTTCATAGGTAAGCTAAAGTGTGAGAACGCGAGGTAACATCGCAGAGATCTAGACAGTGTCCCTTTTGTGTGTGTAAAGCAATTCTAGTTCGTTCAATAACAGCTCTCGGTCATCCAGTCCTTATGTTAACAACGTCAAAATAGAACCATCAAACAGAGAGATTGCTGTGTATAATGTGACGGGAAAAAAGTTCAATATCGCCAGCCTCCCCTTCGTACAAAGCCAAATTTAGTTCGTAAGTGATCCATAGCCTGAGGATATTCCCTATTCGCGCAATCACATGGCAACTGACCAGAAGCTGAGTCTGAATCAGCCAGGATGTGAAACGTCGATGCATGACCTCGCTCTTACCATCGGCTGAAAGTCGACTTTCTTTTCTTGGGGCTCTTAAGCTTCGGGCTCCGAGCCGACTTGTTTGCTTCGAGAATGCTCGAAAGAAGCTTGATCGTGATTTCGTTGATACAATCCAGTTCCCGGAACTCCTTCAATTGGACGAGTTCGTCCAAATGGCGCGCTGCCGCATCGGTGACAATTGATTGAAGTTTTGCATCAGCGACCACTGAAGACACGCGGTCGAAGAGTTCTGGGAAAGCGCTGGCATTCCAGTGATGTTGCAGCAATTTTTCCACCTCGTCTCTTGTCATCTTGAGGAGGTCGGGGACCTGGTAGTAATCGGCGGCAATGTTGAGGTCGATGTGAGCTCGCAGCTGATCGGCGACGGAAATGGCGCTCAAGATCTCGGTTCCAGCGGGCGTAAGCGTAAGGTTTTCTTCGGAGGGTGACTCGAGCTTGATGATAAGCTGCTTGGTGTCACTTGGGTTCTCTGTATTGTAGTCGCCGATGTAAAAGAATTGGACCAGGCGTCGAATCGTGTCGACATCAAAAAGTTCAGCATCGATGGTGCCGGAAGCCGCTTCCTAATCACGAGCAAGTAAGTATAATGAAAACAAGGCCAGTAGAAGCTGGGATCTTACAGTAAAGTTGCCATCCAGTGCAGCTGCAAACATGGGACTCTGCATACAAACGACGGACTTGTGGAGCTTGAACTCGACACCATGGCATCGTAATTTAAAATCACTGTACTTTCCGGACAGGAGCAGCTGACTCATAAAGTCATGGTCTTCGCCCTCTTGGCGTGTTGACATGATGTTTGAGGCGCAAGTGCGGGTTGACGGTCAGCTGGAAGAAAGGCGGGGACGCGAGTGAATCTCAGTGGTTGAATGGAAGTTGAGTTGAAAGTTGAACTTGGTTCTCAGAACCATTTGGGGCATATGAAGGCGAGATGGAAGTTGCAGTAAAGGTGAAAAAATACTGAGAGCGCCCTCGCTGCTCACCTCACACACTCGCCAAGGCACTCTCACCTCACCACAGCTTCATCTCGAGTTAACAAGTGAGACCAACTGAGATACTGCTGGGAGTCTTTGGCTTTTTTTCCCGCTTGTGGTGGTGCGTAGAATCGACAGTAGCCATGTCTCTCCTCTCATCCACTCTGGAGTGAAATGAGTGGATGACAAGTCACACAGGTGCAGCTGTCTAGCCCAGGCGTTTGATGTAGGTTTAGTCCTGATTCAGATTATCTAATCAATCGGAACGACTTTTAAATTGTACGACAGTTCGGGAGTTAAAAGATCGCTCCTTCCCCGCATAAATTCCAAATAGGCGGGAGCAAGAGTCCGCCCACAGAAGAGGAGCAACACGAAAACAAGACGGCTCATATCCCAGAACGAGAAAGCTTCAAATACTCTAGCCCAGACTCGACCAAGCAAAACCATCCATGGAACCATTCAGCTCCTTCCGGCAAATCACCTTTGCTCTCTCAATCATAGCCTCCCTCACTGGAAGTTTTGTCGCCCTATCGCCTCCCAATCCCTCCACCAGCACCACTCCGCGGACTGGAGATTTCCTCCGGCGCATTGGGATCACGAGTAAGCACGCAGCCAAGATCGTCCTGGCACCTATCAGTGTTCTCGCGCTTCATGCCTCAGCACTTGCTTTCTACGCCCCAGATATCCCACCATTTATGCTCGGCTATGGTAGCGAGAATGGGCTAAACAAAGACTTAATCACCTGGTCGGCATCAACTTCGGTCCCCATATGCCTGATCCTCCTTGTTGGCGTTCCTCTCCGCCTCATGTCCTACTCGTACCTGGGAACAAACTTTACGTTTGCCCTTGCGGAGCCAGATCGCCTCACTACTACAGGCATCTACAGATACGTCCAGCATCCGAGCTATACCGGCCTTTCCGCCATCATGGTTTCCACAATCGCATTGTTCGTTCGGTTCGATGGCGCCGTCTGCTGCTGGATCCCGCCGTCCCTGTACCCAGCCGCAAGAAAGCTCTGGTTTGTCGCTGCACCAGTGTTCATCGCTGTCGGTCTGCTCGGCGTCAAGATGCGTGTTAAGCAGGAAGAGGAGATGCTCAAGGGTACATTTGGGAGGAAATGGGAAGAGTGGCATGCGAGGACCCCAAGATTCCTGCCATGGTTATTTTAAACCACAAGCGTGACACGTCAAATGAAGCTGATGAACTATACCTATTCATTAACATTAACACATAAGAAGACTAAAATAAATATACTAGAAGTTGAAAAGAATAATCAAAAGAATAGAAACCTCCCCAACGCCAATCACCACCACGTGTTTTTCACCCTTCACACGCTCCTCTTCGCGCGCTTGCCAAACTTCTTCACCCTCGACCCATCCCGCACATGCAGCTCAACCGCAGACTGCGCATCCCTCTTCTGCACCGTGTGCGCCGCCTGCAGATCCCCGCAGTCAGGCCTCTGCAGCTGGTTCCCAAACTCGTCCACCGTCCAGATGAGCACGCCGTTGGTCCACCCGAAGCCCTCGACGACCTCGTACTCGCCGCCACCGCCCGCGCGGTTGGTAGAGTTGTCGGCGTACTTCTCGAACATGATCCCCACGTCCTGATCCGACAAGCCCTGCAGCTTGGGCGTCTCGGACGTCGAACCTCCAGTCGCGAGCCACGTGCAGAACGTCGAGTCGAGGTACCGCTGACCCAGCCGCAGCGCGAGGTCCTGCACCTCAACATACGACGGGTCGTCCTCGCCAAACGTGGCGGGGGTGTTGCGCAGGCCCTGCATGAGGATGTGCATCAGCGGCGGCCAGACGCTCGGCTGGTCCCACTGCTGGCCCGTCTTGAAGTTCGTGGCTGGAATCCCGCCGGCGCGGGCGTCGAGGTAGGCGGCCACGCGGGAGTAGGCCTCGCGGACGGCGAGGGGGTTGTTCTTGAGGTAGGGCTGGGCGGCGCCCGTCCAGAAGGGGTAGAGCTGCGAGACGCTGAAGAGGACCTGCTGCCCCGCGGGGGCGGTCGAGTTCTCGATCGCGGCGGTGTCGTTGTCGGCGGGTACGAAGACGTACTGCGACGACGAGGTGAGGTTGTAGTCGAAGTAGCTGCTGTACGTCTCGTTCCACATGACGGCGTGGATGGCGGCGCTGCGGTTGGCGGCGAGCTGTGCCCAGGTCTCGGAGGCGGCGTCGTCGCCCGTCTGGTTGTAGAAGCGGGAGATGGCGACCTCGTTGCCATACATGATGGAGTTGAGGTCGACGGGGACGATGTTGCGGACGTTGAGGGAGCGGAGGGGGAAGTAGACGTCGCGCGCGCCGTCCTCGGGGTTGGCGATCCAGCGCGAGGTGTAGTCCCAGCCAGACTCGGCGCCGCTAGCGAGGTGCGAGTAGAGGGTGGCGACCTGGCTGTCGTTGAGCGGGACGGTCTCTGGGTACACGATTCCGGACTCGGCGAAGTAGGAGCTGTTGCGAGCCGTGATGTAGTCCTCCCGGTACGACTCGGGGCGAGGCTGCGTGTTCTCCACGGCGTAGCGATTGAGCGTGTACGTCTTGTTTCCGACCTGGACGTCCACAGTTCGGTTGTTCATAAAGAACTCGTGCTCCTTGACCAAGAGTGGCAGGGCGCGATCGAGAATCTCCGTGTCGTTTGTGTAATCGACGTATGTCTGGATCATGAGGGAGAGCAGCGGCGGCTGCGATCGGTTGAGATAGTAGATGCGGGCGGCATTAGGCACAAAGCCGTAGTCCTCAACAAAGTCAAGGAAGTTCTCAATGATGTTCTTGGAGATCTCGGTGAAGGAGCCTCCCGTGCGCAGGAGACCCTCAATCACCCAGTACGAGTCCCAGTAGTAGGGCTCACGGAAGCGGCCACCAGCGACGACAAAGGTGTGATTGACCGGGATGAAACTGTTGGGGCAGGTGGTGCAATTGCTGCTAGAGGATGGCGAATATTGTCGGGTCAGGTCAGGCCAAATGTCAATCACCTTCTTGGTGAACTCTTGTATGACGGTATCGTTGATGTTGTTGAGGAAGACGGGATCAGTCGTGAGCTGATCCTGGGGAACAGCGATCAGCTCGCCACCCGCATCGGCGAAATACTCGTCCAAGAAGTTGTTGAGCGCTGTGTTGTTGCTGAGCGGCTTCTCTAATTTGTCAAAGGCGGCTTGGATTTCTTCCAGAGGCTTGATGGCAGGCCTGTACAGCAGATGTTAGTCTCAATTGGATGTCTAGATTGATGTGGCTCTGGGCGACTTACATATCGACAAAAGTCTTGGAGTCCGCGAAAGGCTGGGCCAATTCAACTTGCTTGAGAAGTTCTCCATAGCAGTAGATGGGCGAGTCGCACGGTGCGACGACGGATCCGTTGGTGTAGAGGGCATTGGCCGTGGTGGCCAGAGCAGCTGTCAGCGCCGCAGCGCGAGTAAGTCGAGCCATCGTCGACACAGCGGCTCAACTAAAGAATACCTCTTGCAGTCGAGGAGTTGAATCAATCGCTCAATGGATTGGAGAGAAGATCAGGACAGAATAAATAATCTGGCGGATTACCCTGACGTATTTAGCACAGCACCCTGGTCCAGGCCGTTGGGACTCGGGAAGCAGTCAGCCAGGGATGTTCAGGGATCAGCCAAGGCAGCACACAGTCGGATGCGGGGGCGCCAAGCACCGACTCTGGGGAAAAGGACCGGTTTGAATTGGAGTAGTGCCAATCGGAAGCTGCTGGCCCTTGGAAAAGAGGACCAGGTGATGCAGATCCAGTGCTCTCGGTTAGTGGAATGACGTGTTGATCCAAGGTTGTGTATGGGCAATGGGCACTGTGAGCGCCGAGCTGAAGAATATCATGATGAGGAGGAAGAGAAGAGGAGAAGAACAGAAGGAGGGCCAATTGACCAGGAGCAGGTAGACGAGATGAAAATTTGATGTCCACGAACTTACTTTTTCGTGTTTTACTGGGAAAATTAATTACTTTTCTTGAGAGCATCGTGAAGCGCCTCTTTTCCGCCCAGAAAAAAGTTTAATACTCCCTGTCTGCCACCAGCCGAGAACACACATACACGGTGAGAAATCTGCATGGACAGGCCCAAAGAAACCCCGCACTCTGAGCTGCATAATATTGGATCCAATTGCTTAACGGCCCGAATAAACCCATGGACAATTGACTCCTCTGCTCGGACGCGGCGGAAAGATGGTACGACTCCACGAGATGTCATTCACAATGTGCTAATTGCGCTGAGTGCTGCCGCTAGCTGGACGGTCTGCTTGACCTACGTCATGTAAGTCAACACTCTAATTCTAGGCACGCACAAGTTACTTTTGAGGCTTGGCTTTAGTTGTCGCATTTTTGCGGCAGATGCCGAACATGGCTTCTTCTAGAATAATTCATCTCCACCTTTTAAGCTCGTCGCTCAAAGAGCTTCTCAAGCCAACACGTGTGTATCATTGGTAAATAGTTAATACAACTCTTTCCAGACTAGCCGTCTGCCTATAGAGATATATTCAATGCCACAATGGACGCAAGGTAAGGTGCCAAAGTATGAAATAAGCATTCCTCAATCTGGCCTCAGGAACAAGAGTGCAGGAAGCTAAAAGCAAACGAGAACCTAAATACAAATTGGTATCTTAACAACATGAACAGCTCATGCCTACAAAAGCAAAAATCCCATGCCCTTCGTAACTTACGACGCACCAATCTAAGAGTGCGCATACCATGCGCCTCTCTGGTGTCGTCTCCTGACCTTTTCATACAAAGACAGCACGGTAATGAAAACAAGCTGGTCAAATCCCCTGCCAAACTCCCCATTGATCTGCACCGTGCCCGTCTTCACAATGGACCATCTCTCGTTCGTGAAAAGGGCCACCACCTGGCCCGTCTGCAGGTCCACAAGCTTCCAGTCCCGCATGCTGAGGCTCGACGTCTCCTTGTTGTCCACCGCGTGCCCGTGGGTGCGCTTCCAGGCCAGCTCCCAGCGGCGCCCGTCCTCCATCGGGAAAACCATGTGGTACTCATTGCCTTTGACTGATTGCTTCTCCAGGTTCTCCCACTCCATGCTGTCGCCGAGGGGAGACGATGATGATGAGTTTGACAGGCCAACCTTGAAATGTCTTGTTGACATAGGCATATGGCTCACAGCCAGCACGGGTGCGTGGGTGTTTGGTCCCGCGTGCAGCGTGAGGTCTGGCTTATTGCTGGTGAAGTTGGAGATGCTCACGAAATGGAGCATCGTGTCGCTGTTCTCTGGATAAATGTCGTAGTGGGTGAATACGTTTGGTTTCTTGATATCGAAGCGACGCTTGACTACGGACTCTAGTGTGGGCGATGCGGTCTCGGTAATTAATTGAGCCTTGCAGTCACTGACGGGGACAGCACTGGCTTGGGTATACGTAGTAGCCATCTTGTTCTAGTAGATGTGTTCGTGTCGCAAGTGAAATAGCTGCGGCTGATAGTATTACTTCTTTTTGCCCTATGCGCAAATCTTTGAAATTTCTTTCATCTTGGGATGCCAGCACATCTTATATATCCTTGGCAATTCATCTTGAGATTCTGGCTCCTGAGATCACCAAGCGGCCAAGCGAGGGTTGAGTGGGGCGATTGTGGGAGTTTCCGTCGTATTCATCGCTCTTTATTCCCCTCCACATAGCGATTGGCTGGCGCCTTTCACCAGCCTCAACAGGTGGCTCCGTCTCATTCTTTTGAGACTCGTGACTGGCTGCTGATTTCAAGTGCCCCATAACTCTCAGCCTCAAAATGTCTTGGCAAGCTGGGCTGGGCGCATTTCAGTGGATGATTTCGCCCGATATCAGTGTGGCATTTGCACTTCTATTGCCCAATTATTCACACTGACAACAGCAGAGGAAGAGACAGTGTCGGAAGGCCAAGATTGAGCTCATTCTTACATATGACCAAGCTGCATCATCTAAGTTTGTAATGCTAGTTTTCCAAGAAAACCCTTTACTTTTTAAACCTGTTATTGCAACTATTGGAAGGTACAGGGTAGGCACAGATGGGCACTTTGAGCTTGGATGCTGAAGGCTTGATTGAAACCGAATCTAGAATGTTATTGGGCTATCGCAAATGATTTTAAATGTTTTTCAGGTAAAAACGAGCCAACAGATTTAGTAAGACAGACGACGCGATTCAATTGATATACCTAGGTCTCGTTTATCTGACTTAAAATTTTAAATAACCTACGGACTTGCGGCGGACAACCGGCAAACGGAATGCCGTCCTTGATCCCGGCGGCCGCCGGCTTTCCGTTAGTCGGTTCATCTTGGGGACTTCGCCATCCCGCCATCCCGCCATCCCAATGCTCGTTTTTGGCGTTTTGGAAAGCATGCGGTTATCAGCTGTGCGGCCCTGGCATTTAGAACGCTGGAAACTGGTACTGGTTCCCGTGAGCGATATCTGGCTGGAGAAGCACGACGATGATGGGATTTTAGTGTTTAATTAGTTGCGCTAGCATTGATTGATTGATTGAAGAATGAGTCAAAAACGTTATAAAGATCTTCAAAAAGCACGTTTGTAAATTCATTTGTGTAGGAGGACAGCCCTTCTGCGTTTGCTTGTGAAATCAACTAGCGACTACTCCTTCCCCTTGGACAGAGCATCTCGCCCAATACGTTCGAGGTCCTCCGGACCAAGAACTTCCTTCTCAAACCCATTGACCACTTGCGACAACATGCCGGCGGAGATTTCCTGTACCGTGATCCACTGTAGACCCCAAAACACGAAACTTAGCCCTTTTAACAAACCGTAGAAAGCAGCCCGTGGCAAGGTAGCGGTGCTTGTAATAAGGGGCGGGTTGACAATCTGAGTTTCCATAATTTCAGAATGCTCCTTTGCAAATGCCTCCACATCGGTCTCGGTTTGACCCTATATAACACGCATAAGTCAGTGCTTGTGTCAACGGGAGATGGGATTCATATTTCATGACAAACCCTCATAAGCATGTAGTCTGCATAAATCCGTGGCCTCTTCGTCTGGTCTCGCTCGACACCCAGACCGCTCATGTAGAGAAAACGGAACTTGCTGGTCGGTTTGGTGTCCATGAAGGCGTTGAGGAAAGCCATAGTGCTGGTGTGGCATATATTACGCACCACCTCAAAGTCATAACGAGAAGCTTTGCTTGGCGTGATGGCCACGGTCCTGCGGTGTCATCAGCATTCCCCCTCCCGGCCTTCGATGTTTGACGGAGGTACCTACCAGATGCACCCATTCGCGCCGCTTATTTCCTTCTTCACATCTTCCGAGTATTCGTCATACTTGTCGATCAGAACCTGCTTCAACTTGGCCGCGTTTGGGCTATCGGGCATAGTGATGGGTCGGCGGGAGAGGACAACCAAGTTGCTAATCTGGGGGAGCGCGAGGCCTTGACGGATCAGCTCTGTGGCAACATAGCCAGTCCCTCCACAAATCACGAGCTTCATTATGAAGCCTGGGATTTGTTTAGCTATGAATTCAGGTCGCTCTCAACGCAGAATTCCAACAGGATATCGACGATTATTTATTCTTGACGGAGAGCTTGTCGCGTTTTGGCGCGGCGGAGATAGGAAATAATAACCAGGGTTCGATTTGTAGAAGTGAGATTGCCGCGAATCCTTTATCTACTGGGTCATTCAGGGGTCGCACGACGAGGATCGCACGTGACAGGCATGCTTAGGGGCCTTGGTTGCCGGAATCTGCCTTTCTAGGGAGCATTTGACGGAGCCATCAGATGCAGCCCTATCATCCTACCCTTGGCAGCGGCAAGTTGCCTCAGGGCCACTTTAAGACTACATAATGTTCCATGTTCCAAGTCGCCTACGCAACGCGTACAAAAATGTCTCGATGGTCGCGACAACGTTGCCTATTGTGTCGAGAACATCATATTACATCAGCCAGGCCCCTACCTAGGTAAAAAGAGTTTGTGAGTAATTAACCTGTTAGGTGACTTGTAAAAGAAAAAGTGACTTGATAGCTGATTTTGGCCCCCTGAGTACCCCTAATGGAGCTGAACGTCGAAGACTTAGACAATAGAGAAAAGAATTGCCAAAGGAGACGTTGCGAAATAAGAGCATGTTTCTTATGAAGTCTAGTAAACTACCTAGTATACAAGCTAGAGTTCGAATCAAGCTTCCTTCTGTTAAATCACGAGTATTCCCTTCCTTCCTCCGGAAAACCAACCTCAGAATTGGAAAAGGAGCAATGGCCCACTTGGTTCGAACTATGTTCTGCAGTTAGTACCACCCCCCATTTCACGGCATCCGTGCTTGAGGTCCCCTCCAATGGATGACATGCGGCCGAGATAACCAAGCTACTGTTCTTGGTTGCAGGCAGGCCATCTCTCAGTCGGACCCTGCCTAGTCCCACTATGCCAAGAAATGTTACTGCCACGATAATAATGGTCAAGATAATGGCCATAGGGGAGTAGGCAGGGACTGTAAGTGGTTCCTCCGCATCTGAATACTCTACACCGTGTTGAGGTAGCCAGGTGGGCTTCTGGAATATCTGTACCACAAACAGGCTCTGAGAGACCATCCAATGCATCAAAACCGAGACAGACAGCATCGGAATACTGTATCGGTACGGAAGCTGTAGGAAGAATGTAGACCGTTGGCTGCCTTTTGGGAAGGATACCCGAAGGGGGCGTTGAGTACCTTGGCCATACTTCGACCATTCGATAGCACCCGCCATCGCTGTGATCAAGCTATTGAGAATGAGATAGAGAAAAGAAAGCAAAACTTGGGGTAAGTTGGAAATTAGTACAGTAGCTATGATGGACGCCTCACCTTTTCTCGGCAAGGCCCAGGCAATGGCCGTGTATGGATTGATGGTACCGATGCCAAGATCCCATAGCGATTGTCCATCACCACGCGAGAAACGTCGATTTAAATCATTTGCACCATATACCAGCAGTCCAATGAGAGTAGCTAAAGCCACAAGTATACTATCAAATTGGTTAGTAGAGTTCTTAATGGCAAGTGTAAATAAGCATACAGTATCGAAGCCAACAGCCAGCGGCGATGGCTAACGGCCATCGAGCATCTGCTGTTTTGTGATTTATATACCACGGCTGGGATCTCTTGATATTCGTCTAGTTTTTGAGAAGAATGAACCTCCGCGGACGATAGCAAGCACATTCCCTTCGTCACTCGTTCTTGAGAATCGATGAACGAGGCAACGGCGTCCCCAATGGTGACAAGAGGTTCTCGGTTCGCCAGATTGCTCGTGGCCAAGATAACAATGATCACAAATTTGAGAGCATTGAAGCAGACAACCACATAGATGAGGTTGAGAACAACCTTCAACTGACATTGGTTTTCCGGTTTCTGGCTTAAGCAATACTTGACTCTCCCGGTTCCTATCGTCCAACTAGCTGGGCTCATCTGGTTCTTCCAAGCGCCATCGCTGCACTTCTTTAGCTTCGAAATAACTGCGCCATAAGGCTCTAGGGAGCAGATCCAAGAAAAATAATCCTGGTCGTCACTCGTGCCAGTGCTGACACTAAAGTCAGTCTTGTAGAGGAACGTGGCGTAGATGGAGCCGTTCATTGGGGTCTCGCAGAACCTAGGATCATCCTCAAAAAGAAACATGCGTAAGTTTTTAAACTTGTGGCAGTCATCTGGTGGGTCGAGCACCACAACGACGTTTGCTCGGTCATAGATTACACCCTTTGCATACGCTTTTATACAGTCGTCTGGTGCCAACTTCTCATATTTATTGTTCTGCACTGCATCTTGTATGAATCGTAGGCTCTCATCGAGCCTGGGCGCATCAGGTGGATAGTACCAATGATTGTATTTGCCAAATGGTACCCCCCTGATAAAAGATTCATCAGCCAGCACGATTCGGTACAAATGGTTTGGAGTCGAAACAATGAATACGGAGTTGTAACTGCATTTGAATTAGTTTCGACTGCTTTTACCAAGAGGGGGTGGGCAACATTTACACAAAGTGGAGTGGGATAGACGAAAAGCCCAAGCAGAGCCAGATGAGAAGCCTTCTCTTCTCGATATAAAACAAGTTCCGGACACTGGGGATTCCAATGTCAAGCCATTTGCCTCGGGCGTGAGCTTTGTCAACATCTTGTCGCATGGGGGCGCTGACGGTCTGCATGCAATAGTTGCTTGCACCAAGGAGCAAAGTGCTGGCGATGTTGATGAGAATGTGGATGCCGGTTGCAAGCGACTTGATGGCTCCGCAATCGCCAACGCGAACAGGTGCGATGCTGCCGGAATACCCGCTTTGGCGAATCCTTGATGTAAATACCACGGAAAGAATCGTATTTATCAGTAAGATGATAAATGTCAAGGCGGCTGCCATCATCGCGCCAAACCTCCAACCTGTTGGCATCCGACTTTGTGGTCCGATTTGGGACTGATTTCCATTTTGACCATCATTGTCAGGGTGGTTTGGAGCATATGCAGACGAAGATCCCTCTGAAAACTCTAATCGAGATGCGACGTTGTGGCGAATCAGCGGCGATAGGGGGCTGATCGACAGCTCGCCAGGTGCGTCTTCATTGCTCTGTGTCTGCATTCCTTCTTGCCTATTCAACGTATCGAGAGATTTGTATGAGCCCTTAAGAGGAGCTTGGCTGTGATCATACATTTTCATCAATTTGACATGCGCTGGCTAAGAGATCCGTATTGAGCATTCACATCGATAGGTAGGAGATGAGAAGGAAGAGAGGGAGGAAATAGCGAAAGACTTGCAGAAATCGTATAAAATAGAACATTGGTGAGGCGGAGTTGACTTTTGGTGCTATGTTGGTCAGAATTCCAAGCCCCGCTAAAGGTCCTCCTATGTTGTGAGACAGCCAGAAATATCTGTTGGCAGAGGCACAATCTTTAACATGATCTGGCGGCCTTCTCATCATTCAAGCGAAGACTTAACATGCCGCTATTTTTACGCTATCATGCTCTTCCTGGAAGCAAAGCCTCATGAGCAGGCCTAGTTGTTGATAGTAGCGTAGGAGCTTCCCTGGGGAGGGGGTTGGGGGAGGATCAGCGAGGTAGGAGCTATCAAATGTGACACATCGGGATCACATCAGGATCAAAATGTCTCTACAAAGCCACCTAAGCTCGCCACCGACTAGCTGACATTACAAGCCACCTAATTCGGTTCAACTGAAGTTCCTTTTTAATAGCATGAACATAAACAACTTGATTACTCCGTGATTTGTTGTCTTTTATTGTAGGGAGCATATTCATGCAAAACTTAGCCTGCTTCGCCGAATTTATAGGACGTGTTGTCTTGAACGGCATATAAACGACTGTCATTTGGGAGTTCGAGCGTCCGGAAAGCTATTAAATGACGCATGAGACAAAATCTAAGGGAGCATACGGTAGACAGGACTCTATTTTGTCAGATTCCGCTGGAACCCCTTACCTTTAGCGTGATGCAAAACGTTTATGGATAACCAATTTGCGGTGGTTGTATATAGTGTGCGACTACCAACAGTGAAATGGACTTTGTTCTCTCACCATTCTTATTTACAAGCCTCGTCTAAAAAAAAGGCCGACGGCGTTAGAGTGAACGGTGAAAGATTCATAAAGCAGGCACCGAATGATCCGGCCTTTAAGAAGCAACCGAAGTTTAAGAGAGGGCAGGGCAATGGCTCCAGTTGAGACATTTTACAGAAATGGAGAAGCGCTTGCAAAAGCGATTTTCGACATGATCGGCTTTGGGGAAATAACCGTATCTTTGCTAAGCTCATCCCGCGAATTCAGAATCCGCCTGCCTAATTTCCTTCCAAAGCTCAATGGACATCTCCGCAGGATCCGACTGCCAGCTTCGATCTACTTGTTTCTCAACCCCTGTTTCGTTCATTGCCACAGAGACTGTTGAGTGTAGTGCACTGTATTGGCCACGATCTTCATAGGAGTTGCGAAGAAAGTGAATGCTCACTCTCTCAAGTGAAGATTGGGCATCGTGTGTGCGAAACTTGTTGAAAACACCTTCAGCTAGGCGAAGACTGACTTTGGGCTTGATTGATGGGTTTGACGTGGTGCCGACGGAGCTGAATGTGTTTCGTCCACAAAAAGAAGATGGCTCCATCGGGAGTTTGATGAACAGTTCGACTTCTCTAAGGCTGCTCATCTTCACAAGCTCATCGATAGAGGACTCTTCTTGTGGTTGCCCCGGGGGCTTAACCACCTCTTTCAGTGCAGCTTCTGCATCCTGCAATGAGACGTCTATCCCCAAATGGGCCAGATGAGGAAGCCTAGACGCAATCTCGCTCACTGTCTCCGGTGTCACGGCGACGAAATTGCAATCGCGATACGGCCTAAAGGTCAAAGACGTTAAGGAACCCGCTTGCCGGAAAATGACTGGCCAAAGGCCGGATACATCTTCCTCGAGGGTTCTGATACTGAGCTCCTCAAGCGCGTCTATAGTCCTGATAAACTTGTGCACGATGCCCAAGTCGCTAGCACATGCATACTTGCCCCAGCTACCGTTTTTCGTATAGCAGGTATCGAGAGATTTGATTTTTCGAACATCTCGCCTGTGTTGGGATTGCAGCTTCTTGATCAAACCGCCAGGGCAGGCATAAGGCCAAGAGACTATTCCAGATCGAATATCCATCATAAGAAAAGTCTGGTTGATACAAGTTGGCGGACAATTTTTGGCGAGCTGAACCAATCGAAGAATAGTACTGCTCTGCACAACAAAAGGCTGAATGAGCTGAATTGTGAGAGTTCCAGTATGGTTACAAAACTTTCTTTGCGCCGACGGGCTCAATATCGAAGAAACGTCGAAGTGAAGATGTCTTCGGAGGTGCTTCTCGTACTGCCTTAACTAGCGTGGGGCAGTGCAAATCAGCCTACAGTTTGATTAAGGCAGGTGTTGAGATTTTCTTTATGCCTTGCCATTTGGGACCCTTTTAAGTATGTTAATAGCGTCCCTGATTGTTAATAAGGGAATCGCGTCATAACGATGTAGATTGCAATTTTGAGTCTTGTTCAGTTCTATTAGGACTCTAAGATGAATTGGTTATTTTGAAGCCGGGTGAACGAAAGATTGATAGAACAGGCTTCGTCCGATGCTAGGAGTGCCCCCATTATTTTGATCAAATGAAGCAATATCCACCGGCAATAAGGATACAGAACATTAATAACTAGAGAAACCCATGCCTGTAAGCGTTGCTCCATGAATAGGATCAATTGTCAGCTTGGAACTAAAGCTGCTTGCCCATCAAATGCTAAATGAGAAGTTGGCCGCCGTACTGACGGGGGTAGAGTTAAGTCCTAGACTGGAAGAACGTGTCCTCCTTTCAGTTTCCTCGCACTATGAAAAACTAGGCTCATTCACGCTCTCGTTGCTCCTTGCGTTCCTACTCCTTACTGTCGACACCCTTCGCCAAATGACGCCTTTTGATTCCTACCTTAAAATCCAATGGCTTCACAAACCAGTAATTCAGAGTTCGCCACTCCTTGGAGTGCAGAGATGTATCAAGTTGGAAGTCCCAGTCTCGAACAAGGCGAGGTATCAACTTCGACATCTCCAGCATGGATACATGGCGGCCAATACATGTCCGCGAGCCCAGACCGAACTAAAATGCGAACAGGTGTTAAACATCGCCTTTAGTGGCTTAAAAGGTAAAGGGAGACTCTTACCGGAAGATAGTATCGATTCATGATCGAAAGTTTATCATTATCATCAATCAGCCACCTCTCGGGGCAGAATTGTTCGGCATTCTCGCCGAAGACATGGGTATTGCGATGTGCTACCCATGTGTTGATTCCCACGATAGTCTGTGCTGAAATTTAGAGAGTTGGTTCAAGAGAGAAGCAATGCTCAAACACTTACGCCTTCGGGGAAGAACCGCCCTGATATCGTCGCGCCGCCTTCAGGAACTACACGTTCCAAGGGTAGACCAGTAGCTGGGTGCAACCTCAGCGCTTCTTTGATAACGGCTTGTAGATACGGCATCTGTTGGCTCTCTTTGAATGTGGGAAACTTTGTAGGGTCCGATTGCACCGCAAGGCTGTCGACCTCTTCTCTTAGCTTGAGCAAACAGCGAGGGTTCTTGAGAAGATAATAAAGAACTGCTGACAAGCTGATGGCCGTTGTGTCAGAACCCGCAACCATATTAGAGGTGCACCCGGCAAGCACGTGGTAGTTTGTGAACAAATCGGCGTTCGCGGCATGCTTGGCCAGAAACTTGGTGAGGAAGTCCTCCATTGCGACGGAACTCTCATCGGTTGCGACGGGTTTTGGTATCACTTGTGCTTCCCTGATTCTCTCATTAGTGAACTTCAGGACGTACGCCCTCCCTGATCCCTGGGAACCAGCTAGATAGTTCTTGATGGAAAACAGATATTGGTGCAGGCTCGGAAAGATTCCAACAAGGGTCGCGTAGCCCAGATGCTCCTCGAGCGCCCCAATGACGCCTCCGATATCATCTCCCTGGTCTAGAAAACCTAGTCGTTTGGCGTACGTGATCAGTCCGATAACGTCAAAGGCGTAGCATTGAAACCAGTGTCTTATGTCTACTAGCAACCCAGATTCAGACATTTCAGACAGCCGCTCCGTGAAAATGTCGATACAGCTGTCGACGAAAGGCTCGTAATGGACCAAAGAGGACATCGAGTAGGTGGCTTGGTATAGCTTTCTGTTCTGATTATGGCGCTTGATTGACTGATCGCTGAAGATCGCCCATGATCCGGGACTGGCCCAGGTCGAGTACCATGATGACTTTGGGAAATGGCTACCGAGGCCGTATATTATCTTGGCGGCTTCCGGATCGTCAAAACTGTACCGGTTCGGGCCATAACGAACGATGCTCCCTGTTCGAATCAGTTAGCTCAGCTTAATGATCTGAATGTCTGGAACTTAATACCATATTTCTTGTGTAGCTCTTGGTTCACACCTTGGAAAGATCCCTTCCAGACTTGCCAAAAGTACCACCCATCCGTGAACCTCGCAAAGAACGGACCGCGAACAGTGCGAAGGGGAGAGCGTAGAGGGGTCACGAATAACACTCGGCCGAGTATGAGAAGCAATGCGAATAGTAAGAATAAGACCGGCACGGACAGCTCCATTTCGCACCGCCTTTCAGGGGAAGTCAAATGGGAAGCCAGGTGTTAACTAAGGATTCAACGTCGATTTGTGGGTGCGTTATGCTATGAAGATGGGCAATGGCCTTAAGCAGAACTAATAGCCACAATTTTGATTTCGGACTTGATTGTTCAAGAAACGGAGATCGAGAATTACCAAGTCCATTTATAACTGAGTTTGATACCCCGCATTTTGAATACGTCAAGCCTTCAGGGGCCAAGCATCCATGTCGGATCACGTCTTTAAAGGCTAAGTACATCGGCTCACCCGGCGGAGGCAAAGTATCTCGGCTCACCCCCGCGGAAGCCAAGTATATCGGCTCACACCCTCAGAGGCTACGCAATGTCGGCTCACCCCCGCGGAAACGGTAAGTCGGTTCACGCCTGCGTAGGATAAGCATATCCTGAGAAAGTGAAACCAGCCACCTAACTCCTATACAAGTACATATGGCTGTGAATGCTGATATACTGATTTTTGAAAATTTTCTTTTTGCGGCAAACAGTATATGACGTGGCTCAGTGTCGTTGTAGATATCGCATGACTGACTAAGATGTTCATCACATCATGTGGTGAGAAAGAGCCCAATTATATCGACACACGTCGCTTTGGGAGAATTGCTTGCCTAAATATTGAGCAGATTTATGATGAAGAATCATGTATATAGGAACTGGGCGATACGAAGGCTTATGGCTGCCTGGACCGTTGGAGCCACGTGTCACACGCCATTTCCATTGCGTGCTCGTTCAAAACAGGGCGTAAAGAACACAAGTTTTACTTCAAAAGTGTCTTAGTTGCCTTTAAATCATCTATATAGCCGCTGCTGGCTCAAGCTAGGCAGACCAAACTGCGCTCTAGGCATTGCGAGGCCCCGTTTGGCTGCAATTATTAACCCCAGGAACACCTTGGCGAAGGACATACGTTATTACCCGACAAAATTACTGTAAATACGCTGGTTTCTTTGAATCACCTGATTGGTATTATCATCTTTGAAGGTAACAACCGATGAATGGGCCTGTTTCGTTCCAAAAGGGGGTTTAAAATAGCCATTCAATTCGGGCACTTGAATTTCCCGTCGTCTTCAGATATCCTTTCCCCTCTCGCTCAAAGAAAAATTTAAAATTCAAAAGGATAACAGCTAAAACGAAACAGTATATAGACCAAAGTATCGGGTTTTCTCAACCTAGGCCGCAGAACATGCCAAACAAAGGAAATGGAACCAACAATCAAAGGTTTCGGCTCGGCAAACTATACCAGATAACATATGCAGAAATTCCAGCAAGGGCTAGGGTGAAATACAGGAATTTAGGGTAAAGGGTAAAGAAATGGCCGGATTTTGGTTCGCCTTGATGGGCGACAGACACAGGCGACGGAAGCCAATGAGTTCCGTTGGTAACCAAGGCTGGTATCTCAGCTGGATTCAGCCGCAATAAGCCATGTTTGCCTTGCCGATTGAACGAGGATGGCTGCCTTCCCAGAGGCACAATTTCGTGTCCGGGGCCAGGGGCTGACTGGGACAAAGATGCTAAACTGGCCATATCTCCAGCCGTGCCTACAAGGCTCGACACGAGACCGCTAACCTCCAAAAGAAGGCTCCTGGAGGGCGCAGTGAGGAGAAATGGTTTCTTTTCCCTCATTTTGCGAAGAACGCGGAGTGGCACCACATAGAGCGGTTTGATTTTGACGTATGATACCTTCTTAAGTTCCATACCATGCTCAAATACCAGAAGGCGCCCGGAATCAGGATGTTTATCCGCTGGCGGCAACGGAACATATCGCTCTCGAACACGTCGTTTTGGATGTTTCTCCTCGAGTCGCATACCACTAAAAGAAGTAATCTGTTGACGGACAAACGGGCATAAAGAATCAGCATGATGATCAAATATCAAGGCACAGAGGCACGAACCACAAGGATGGAAGCTTGCTGTATCGCATCATCGACTGCAAGTACAACGACTGGGTGATCGAAGGCCTTGGGCTCTGGACTTTTTGGTCCAACCTCCAACGGAGGATTGATTTCACCAAGGGGTGGAAGATACATGATGGACCCTTCCCTTGGTATTGGCGACATACTGTTGATGGCAACGTACCGCAAGCAAATTGGGATAGGAGACTCCTGTAATTATTTAACATGTCGTAGAAATATGTCAATGAGCTGACTTCGTCTGTAAGCAATGAAAATATGAAGAGAGCGTGTCTCCCTTTTGTTGCCTTGAGGCGCCTCTGCCGGGCTAGGCAGGCATGGCAAAGCCAACTACAACACACAGTAGATTTCACTGGCCACAAAAAAGTCTGCAAGATGCCTGAGGCCTTAGATCATCTTCACGTGGCGTCTACAGGGCTGTAAGTGATGGCTTGTGCAGCGAGGCGTTGGGGTAAACAATGTGCGTTAACAGCCTCTGTAACTATACTGCCGCGTCCATGCACTAGCAATCTGGCTCGCGAACCATGAGACGGAGCATTTGGCGTTCAGCAGAATCAAGAAAACATGGTGTTGGCTGTTGTTAGGCAGAAGCGCAGGCATATGCAACCAACCAAAGCGAAACACCTGACTGGAGCCTAGTAAGTCTCGGGTACTGGGCTAAGGAGGCAGGCGATTTACGCTCAGCTCAGAGGATCGGCCGTGAGATTTAGATAAAATGGAAAATGAAAAAAAGGGGGAAACTTCAATCACTGTATGTTGCCACTTGAGGCAATGCTGAAGGGGACAGGGGTCTCGGGTGGCTTGTAGCTTGGCCATGTATATATCGGGCGCAGAGCCCTGAATCAGCCTCGGCACTGATCAGCAATATAAGTAGAGCCTCATGGTCAGAAGCTTCCCAAAGATGATCCACAACTTCACAATATGGGGAGAGAGGACAATATGCACATCTCCTTAATGGCCTGAAGAGCGATGCCTGTAAGCAGCTCATTGCGGGTGGGCCGAGACAACGGCTTTGGCTTTGGCTTCCAGTCATTATACTCATTTCAAACAACACCGACGAAGCTGTCCAGCCATCGAGATAATCTTAGGCGGTGGAGGTGACGGTGGAGATGCTCGCGGGAAGCTAGAAAGAGAAGACGGCGACGGATGGCAGGGGGACGGGGTCAAGCTTTTCTTGGCCTACAGTAATAAGGCTTGGAAAAAGCTTGTTCACCAGCAGTATGCATAAACAAGGACTCAAATTCACGCGCCCAATGGCGTACTTGATGATTACACGTCCCATGACCTGAGACGGGGCGGCGCGTCCTTAGTTCACGTATTGAAGCCCGCAATCGACGTTTCATGACAGGAGGCCGCGTCACCCAATTTCAACACTGGTGGCTCATCTTCAGAATGTGTCCCACCAGCATTAATGTTGATTCTTCGGACTATCCCGATTGGCACCATTGACCCGCGCAGTTACGCACGCTTTCCACCCCTGGTGTGGCTTTCGAATTGCCGCATCGTGATTCAAGGAGGTTTCAACAGCGACGACAGGCGGGGTTCTGCCGCGATGCTGCTATCAAGGCTCCATCTTGAGCTAAGAGGCAACGCAATCATATGAGGTCGCTTATGACCAATTGGCCCTTGTTATTGGTTGGGCGGTCGTGGGACCTGTCAAGGTGACCTACCCCAGCGAGGTTTGGTCATCTAGAACTGCTTCATTGGTTGCAACCAGAGATTTCGATCATCTCTGGCTAGTACTAGGGTCACAGGGATGAAACAGGGTTACGTTGAATCTGGGGATGTAAACGAATTGGCTGCGGTTGGTATTTGGCTTCGCACAAGTAGGAGGCAATGCCGAAGTCTATAAAGCTCTGCGTGGGAGCCTCTGAATCAAAATGATTAAACCAAATCATTCATCTTAACTCACATTTCCAATCCCTCATTGCCAGCGCTCCAATTCAGCTTGTCTTATCAACCGAGACTAAGAATGCGTCTTCAGTCACTCTCCACCATTGCACTTCTCGCAAGTGGTGTTGCTGCCCATCCCGGGCACGATGTCCAACAAGAGGCCGAGGAACGTCGTGACTTCCTCCAATCCATCGAGACACGTTCTCTGAGCCACTGTGTGAAGAGATGGCAAGAAAATGGACACGAGGCTCGCCACAACGCTCGTCGGGCGGCCATTGTCCAGGAGGCTCGCCATAAGCGAGGTCTCTTCGGTTCCAAGAGGAAGAAGCGCGACCTCGACGGAGTCCTCAGCACTTCTCACAACCTGACTGATCTCCGATTCACTCCCAACACCGACCATAGCACCCTCTTTGCTAGCATCAACTCATGTGTCTTGACACCCGAGGTTACCCAGGGCCCATACTGTGAGTTCGAAAAATGTTTCTCCTACGTTCAATCTCTACAAACAGTTCACTAACAACAGCACTCTTAGATGTCTCTGGCGAAGACGTCCGATATCGTATCATCGAAGATCAAGAGGGAGCCGAGATCATCCTGGACTATCAGGTGATCGACGTTGATACCTGTGAGCCTGTGCCTGATGTCTACCTTGAGATGTGGCACTGCAACTCTACTGGCGTCTACTCCGGTGTCAACGCCCAGGGCAACGGCGATTCTACCGACCTGAGCAACATCGACAAGACTTTCCTGCGCGGCATTCAAAAGACCGACAAGGATGGTGTCAGTCAGTTCTTGTCCCTTTTCCCGGGTCATTACACCAGCCGAGCCACCCACATCCATGTCATGGTTCACACCAACGCCACGGAGCAGAAGAACCATACCCTAGGTAATGAGAATTACTCTAGCCATACTGGTCAGGCCTTCTTTGATCAGGCTCTCATCTCTGCTGTTGAACAGCTTCCGCCTTATAATACCAACACCCAGGAGCTCACGCTCAACGCCGATGATTCTATTCTCTCTGAAGAGGTAGCCACCGAAGGCGTCGACCCCGTCATGCAGTACACTCTCCTCGGCGACGACGTCAGTCAGGGTCTGTTCGCCTGGCTTGCTTTCGGTATTAATACCACACTCTCAAAGGAAGTCTCTCCCGCCACATTCCGCTACAAGGAAGGTGGTGTTACCAACCCTAACTCTGGCGGCGGCGGTGGTGGTGGTGGCGACGGCCCTGGTGGCAATGGCACCGCTCCCTCTGGAGGTCCTCCCTCGGGCACTGGGATCCCGTCTGGTACTGTGATCCCTTCCGGCACTGAGGCTCCTTCTAGCACGGCTACCCCCGATCTGAACCTATGCTAAGTTTCGGTGGGATTAAGTTGATTTTGTGCCTGGCTGGACCTTGGTTTCTTCAGTTGTTGTCCCCTGTTGGAAAAAGTCGGAGTGGGAGAATAGGAATTGTAGCTCGATTAGACTGTTCAAGTATGTAACAATAGCTAGAATATGCAGCGCATTGACTGGTTGCCTTACATTTACCGTTTCAATTTTTATTCTCCCTCCCGTGATACTCAAATCGTCTAGATCTTATCCATAAAGGTCTTTTCATGCCCTTTTTGACAGTATTCATCATCTTGCTTGAGATAGAGCAGGTGATTGAGGGCCCAGTCTTGGTCATTAGCATACGGATCCTTATAGTGGCCAGTCCGACCATTAACAGACAAGGGATATATCCAGGCGCAGCTCGCACTTCCATCCGGAGCAAACAATGCCAGGTTTCCCAGGATGATCCCATCAGCCCTCCTCTTGGATGCCTCATCAGCTTTGACATAACTATAATGATGCAATGCGACAGCATCGAGCGTGCTCCAGTAATGAGGAAAAGTGTCACCCCACATTCGATCCTTTCCAAACCAGTACCCATCCCAGTGGCGGATTGCGATATCATGCAGACGATATTCAGGCTGCTTTCCTTGGAAACGTAGGAGCGTCTTCATCTGGAGCTCTGCACCATTCAGCCACTTCGGATCTCTGGTGAACCGGTAGAGCTCAAGCAACATGATGGCTGCGGGTGCAACGATAGACTGCTCAAAATTGACTTCAAAAGGAGGGTAGTCGACTCCCCTATTTAGTATCCTTTGACCATGATTTAGGAACAACTCCTTGGCACGCTCGAGAAGATTCTTTGTGCCGAAATTTTGGAGGTATCTTAGAGACTCAAGCACCGGAAGGCCAATGGGATAGAGATCGCTACCGCCTTCATTATAGAAACTCTCCATAGTCTTTTCGAACCTTTCCAAGGGAGATTCATCTCCATCTATACCAGTGGTGTCGAGGTCCGTGAGCCCTACTGCGATATGTAGTTGCATCACCCATGGCCAATTATATAGCCGCTTTTCACAGCTTCCAGGACCATTCAACACGTACCCAGTCTGGTCTTGCAACTCTTCGGAAACAAAGTTGTAGTATTTTTCAAGAGAGTTGCGTGCTTTGTCGTCGCCAGGATGCTCTCTCAGCCACCTGGCCATCAAAATTCCCATCCCTACACGCTCCCGACCCAGGTTCCGGTCATTATCGGTGTCCCAAGAAGAGATAAGTTGAGCCTGGTTATCGAATACGGCGTAGGCACCATCACGGGGCGTTCCGGGATCATACACCTGTTGCTTGTCTATTATGAATCGTACCCGAGATGCCACAAGTTCCTCCACGCTTTCCAATCTGTTCAAGTAGACTCTTGCAGAATGTTCTATGCCCGGAGTTTTCACCTCGATGGAACCCTTCAAGGTGTGGCTCTTCGCTGTGTAGCAGCCCTTTCCCTCGTAAACAACACTCTGGCCGTTCACAGTGGTCTTTTCATTGACAGCACCGGTCATTTGCAGAGCAGCGACTTCATCACCGACGAGAGTATAGCAGGGTATATGGAAGTGGATGAACTGGTTCGAAAGTTGGGCGCACTGCTCAAAGAAGTCATCCCAGTCGTTGTGCCAAAACATAGACCACTCGATTGTCTTTTTCTCGTTCGGGGCCAGTTTTCCAATTACGGGATGGAGTAAAAAGACACCTCTGGTGTTCGACATGGTGATACGATCTCGAGATTCGATGCTATAACCACGCAGCGACCCTTTGGTGACCACCAGTCCCAGATCCGGACGATGCCCGCCCATCTGCGTCATCTTAACCCAGGCATTGCTACCCCCATTAGCCCAGACGTGGGCATGTGCACGCCTTTGAAGCGCGTCCTTCGTACTGGGGTAATGGTCATTGAACGGCGTGAATATAGCAATAGAAGTCCCTTGTGGGCCATCTAAATCGAGGTCTTCAGTTCCCGCATTGTTGAAGCTGTAAGATTCATGGAATGTTTTCCCGTCATCCTTGAGACTCCTGGAGACTTTGATTATCAAAGCCCCTAGCTTATACTCTAAAACGACGCTTGTATGATCGCTTGAGATCACAGATGGATTATTCCAGTGAGCTCTATGCAAGAAATCGGCGCCCAAATCAACGTATCCCGAGCCCCAGCGACTTCCCAGAGGTTGCCATGGCGCATTGTCAGGCGAGCTGACCCAATTCATGTCACCTTCCGACCTAGGGCTGGAGATGCTGACAATGGCTCCAGTAGTGTTGTCAATGTCGATGCTAAAGTGCTCAGATTCAATCTGAGCTGCCATGGTGATTGTTATCCCGGAGGCGGATCTGACAAGAAGGGGCAACTTCTATCTCCCGGCTCTATTTTGGAGATGTTGTCTTGTCGCACGAAATTGCAGAGGCCTAGTTTAGTGAGATGTGTCGCTTGATAATTCTCCCTTCAGCGTTGAAGCGGGGGACGGTTGGAAATATGAAGCATGCGGGGGAGATGACGATGTCTTGTATTTATTGTGGTACCCACCAGGTAGATCGTTAGAGATTATTCTATCGACTTTATTCGACGGGACGGGCCGAGAATGCCGCTAAAAACAAACTTGAAGAAACATATCTAAGACCGAACGAGGGAAAGAGATACCCATATGCGATCAAGTCCATATAGGTTAAGCCTTGTATTGGCCCAGCCCCAAGCTATTTAGGTTTCCATATGGTATACTCGAGCATCCCCCCGGGCTGCATATTTACCTGTTCTTCTCTTCCAGGCGGCTGGCTTTAGCCTTCTTGAGCTTCTTTCCTACCAGCTAAAGTAGCAGCCACATCTCCTCTCCCCCCTCTCCATCCTCTCCATCCTCTCCCTGATCCTCTTCCTCTGCCCCCTTCTCCTCCCCCTCCTCGTCAATTAGCTCTCTAAGCTCTGCAAAGGGGGTATACAGCTCCCACGTCATAGTGTCAGTATCCCGGTCGTAATGACGAATAGTGTGTCTAGAGGGTACTCTTGGGTCCAGAGACTCAATGGCGTCGGCAGCACCAGACATCCCGCCCAGCCAATGGGCCACGTATTGCAGATCTATTGCCAGCTTCATCTTAGGAACATCCTCCCTTTTGATTCCATTTACGTTGATGATGTGCCCTGATTTGATGGGGAGGAAGTAGTCATGATCGACGAGGGTTGGGTACTCTTCATCAGGCTGCTGGTAGCGTGGGTGCACTGTCGATGTGGGGGATGAGTTGCTAATGCAATCACTAACGATCTCAGCCATTCTTTCCCATGTCATGGTGTCGGTCTTGACGGGACGGAAGGCGTTACCCTTGTGGGCATGTTGAGGCTCGGGCTCGCCGAGCCCTGCGTCACCCAAGGCAGTGGCAATGCTTCTAGGTATCCATCGAAATTCTAGCTGGACAGCCTGCGTCTCTTCATTGGTATCAGGATTCAAGACACCCACCCACTTGAAAGCGAAGAAACACTTTCTCCAATAGCGACAAACTTGGGGAGATAGAGTCAACATGTTCCATTGTCTCTCTGCAGAGCTAGGCACATTTTCGCACAGCTCGTCGGTGGGGAAGAGTAAATCAAATAGGTCCTCAGAGTCTTGCCAAGTAAGGAGGTTCCTTAGAAGCTTTCCGTATATCAATCGGGAACCGGGTTCCGTTGCGGGATTGGTGTTCAACTCGGGAGGGATGATGTGGCAGACATCAGGTTTGATCGCATTGGTGACCAGGCATCTTTTTCCGTCGCGTTCTAGGGTCTAAAGGACCAATTCAACGTTAGGGACTTTCAATGCATTCAGTCAAGGGAAATCTGTGGTTTCTTACATCTTTACTTTCATTCCTGTTTCGATCGGCTTCCTTCGTTGTAGGCTGAGGAGAGTTTGTTGGCAACTTCACATCAGGGGGGATAGGGGTATTTCGCGGGAGAACTATTAAAACAGAATTAATTTGGGCAAGTGTTAAAGTAAGGCCAGTCCAGAAGACCTACATCTAGCAAGAAATGGTTCAAGAAGTACCAGGGTGTCCCTTATGTTAATATCACCGAATAGGGTGAATGTTCGGCTACATAGGAGAATTCCGATCTGGTGGAGGTGGGTGAACACGAAATCGTCTCCAAACCTCTGGTTTAGTTCCCTTTTTACGTGGTAAACCTTTCGGATGCGGATAGTTTGGTCAGGGATGGGATTGCGAACTTCCTTAATATTCGTATTCATGGGCGTCTGGTGCTGCAGGAGACGGAGGAGCGCGGCGTGATCACTAGGATGACCAGTCTCTCTCGTCACAAAAGCGTCGAAAGCACTCTGGGCCTCTTGGATCTGGTCATCTGGTAAACGAGGCATCTTGAACGATGGATTCTAGGGATGAAAAAAAAATGGAAGAAGGAACCTAGCGTGTTAAATTCAGAAATGGAGGGAACCAAAGACTGGCAGATGGCGAAAAGTTAAACCACCGTCGTACCCTTCTACTCTCGCCGACTTGCATAGAGTTTCGTTCGATAAACTTACAGATATTTGTGTCATGCTTTGCTTGGGAATCGAATTTCAACACAATATCAAATTAATCAGCCTAGTAATAAACACAATATCAATTTAGACATTATTGAGTAGTTCATTATTTCTTTGTTATTGTGTTTATGATTATTCATAATAAACCAGTCCCTGCATTGTATAGTGTGCTTTATTTGACTTCCGCACTTGAGGGGACAAACTTCCCCCTCGCTTTCTTGGAACCTAATATTGCCGGATGAATCAGACAAGTTGTTTCATGATATTCAAAAGAGCATGCAATTTATATATAGAATATTCTTGTATTCTTCGCTTGAGTATTTACATGTGACTATATACTTCATTATAAAATCATTAGATCAGACATCCCCAGGCTCTTCTTTCCGAATCCAACCAAGCATTTACTCGCCGTTGTTGATGAGCTTGTTGACAGTGCCGCTGGGAACATCAGAGATGGCACCAGAGACGGCAGAGGAGGCAATGCTCTCGCACAGGCCAGAGGCGCTCTTGCCAGTGCCGAGGAAGTAGGCACCGATACCGGCGACATGAGGAGAGGCCATGGAGGTACCAGACATGGTGGTGGAGCCACCACCAGCCTTCACGGAGAGGATGTCAACACCGGGGGCGAGAACATCGACGAGAGAGCCGAAGTTGGAGAAGTAGGCAAAGGTGTCATCCTTGCCAGTAGCACCGACGGTGCAAGCACTCTTGGCAGAGGCGGGGGAGGAAGTGGAAGCATCAGCAGCCTCGTTACCAGCGGCAACAGCGAGGAAGACACCGGCGTTGACGATCCCGTCAGCGGCATCGTTGATGGCGGTGGAGGTGCCGCCACCGAGAGACATGTTAGCAACAACACCCTTGGGGCAGCTTTGCTTGCTAGCGTCTGTAGCCACGAACTCCATACCGGCGATCACACCGGAGCTATTATTATGTTAGAAGCTGACCATAAAACTAGGGGTGTAAGGAGTGAACATACTTGGTTCCGGAACCGTTGCTGTCAAGAACCTTGACGGCGAAGAGCTTGGTCTTCTTTGCGACACCGTAGGTAGTACCGCCAACGGTACCAGCGACGTGGCTGCCGTGACCGTGGCCATCAGTGTTGCTGCTGTCGACATAGTTGGCTCCCCAAGAGGCTCGGCCACCGAAGTCCTATTTCACGCCGTTAGCATATCACGAATCATTGGGACAAGAGGAGAGTAAGTTGACTTACAGAGTGGGTGGTATCGATACCAGTGTCAACGATGTAGGCGCAAGTACCCTCACCAGCAGTGTCATCGTAGGTGTAGGTAGTGCTACCGGGAGTCTGAGAAGAGATACGGGCGAGACCCCAGGGGGCGTTGGACTGGGTGGCCGAGATGGTGATGATCGCATCCTGCTCGACGTACTCAACGGTAGGGTCGTCACGAAGAGTGGTCAGTTCCTCCTCAGTGAGGCTGGCGGCGAAGCCGTTGAAGCGGTCGGCATAGGTGTAATCGGCATCAGCCGCGATAGAGGAGATGGCACTGTTGATGGTCGCAGTGACAACGTCCTTCTTGAACTTGACGATGTACTTGCCATCGATCAGGCTGGTACCGCGGGGGACGATGAGAGGAGCGGGAGAATCACGCTTGGCCTTGATGCCAGAGGGAGCGGCCATGGCCAGGGGGAGAAGAGCGAGGAGAGTGGAAGAACGCATCTTGATGATGTATTTGGGGTTGTTTGTTGGGTGTTGGTTCGGAAAGAGGAGGAGAGGATGATGCAGAGGATGCTGATGAGGATCAGAAGAGAAATTCGAAAAACAGCGGATGGGCACCATCTATTTATCCTCAAACGTAGCTCTCACGAGCTCTCAGATATCTCATATCAACACTGGCAGTTGCCATCCTCTCAGCAAGAACAGGGGTCTTGTTGGTGGTGGCGGTTCCGTGGTCACCATACAACTCGAACCCCTCGCCGCTCACTCCGCCGGTGCTGTTCAGGCCGTCACTTACTGGACCCTTTGCCTCACATTACATGACATGCATAAAACTCCGGAGCTGAAGTAGCATCGAGGCGTACATCAAGCGAGGTACGCCAATCAGACAAGACAAACACCCATGAGGCCATCGCCACAACCCTGCATCCAACGGTGTGATATGGTTACTCACCCCGCCCCTCCGTCTTCCCCTCTTCAAATTGAAGCTCTGTCGATCGCGCGCCTACTGAGCCATGACAACTCCCCGAACAGGCAGCCTAGTCACAAAGCTTAGCTGCGTGACTGCCGATCCCGCTTTGAACCTACCTCAAGCAGCCAAGCGCCAGCAGTCAGCATGGCATGGATCGCGTGAGAATCTACTTGAGCTTCACAGTGAACCTCTTAAAGCCACAGCCGCGTTGTTCCCATTTGGCAGCTCGTTCGGCAAGTCCCCTGTCGAGATCGGCAGTTTTTTCTTGGCACGTCCGCTGGAAGAAGCATGGAAATCCCATTTCTGACCGATACGAGTCGCTCTTGTTGAAAGTGCCCTTGAGATGCAGCTTGGCCTTTTGGTGTGCTACAATATCCAGTTTCGCCTTGCCCAGAACTTATCATGCAGTGACAACTATGGGAGAACTTTTGGAAGTTGGTGTTGATTGACAACTCGATTGCTCTATTTGTCCAAAGCCGACCAGGGACAAGGGAAATCGGGAAGCGCTTGCTAGCCCATCGTCTATTAGATAATATTAATTCACTCATCGCATTGACACTCTGCTAAGGTGCTGACTGGGACGGAGCAGTGGCGCCACATCTCAGCTTGTTTTAGAGTACTCATTCGCAATTGAACCGGTAGATTACAACACTTCCCGGCATTTCGGCAACTGACTGGCAACTCGCGGTTCCTGGCCAACAAGGGGTGGGCCAGTCAGATTGATCGCTCAGGAGTCAGAATGACAGAGCTCGTTATGGAAGCATGAATCTGAGACGGACTCCACCAGACCACTACAAAGGTCCCTTTCCACTTGATCGTGCCTCACTAGCTGAAGCTCCCGGCCCTAAGTCAAGTCAAAAGTACGGGTCGAAAGCAGCAGGTCCGGTCTTATCTCTCGTCCGAGATGCATTGGATCTCCAGCACGTTGCCATCCATTGCGAGACGGACTACGGCACTGAGATGGCCTGTTGTTGTTGATGTGTTTCCTATCTTGCTGAATCGTCTCCTCTATACCCCCGGCTCATTTCCTTTACTACTTGCCATTTTCAGTAGACAGCAGCATATACCCTACCCAGCCATGCATGGTGCACGTACTGCTCTCGGATTCGATGCCACTCACGATGGGTGAAATAATCGGGCTCAAAAAGTGACGTAAATGCGATGCTACCCAAAATGCCCGACCCCCGGATACCGGAAAGGAGAATTTACGATGGCCTCCTGGGCGGGAAGTGACGGTAACATTCAACGAAGATAGTGAAGCCATCACCACGAACGCCTTTGCTTTCAATCTGTTCTAAATGGTCAATGTCTATCAATGATCTACTCCAAGGAAGGGAGATCGCTGTAGCGAATTCTAGCTTTTCCATGTTCGCCGGCTGCTGCCGACCAGGACCACGACGATCAGACGCCTCTTCAGATGATGATCTTATCCACTTCAGTTCGGGGACTTTTTGAATGCCATGTCTGCAGAAGAAGCCACCGTCTTTCGACGTGATGTCTAAAAAAGACTCTAGTTGTCCACACTCGGCAGCTCTCTGATGCTGAAACAAGGGAGCCAAGGCCTTGGCCAATGTCATCCGGCATAGCCAAGGCCAACCATAAAGCGAGCCGCAACGAGATCCCACGGGGTACAGTCTGATTCATCGGGAAAGAAAGGGAGATTGCAGGGGCCCTCCATCTCATTTGCACAGTCTCAGCTTCCAACTACCGGATCTGGAGCGGTACGCTTCCCAATCGCCACAAGCGCAGTGGGCCGTAGGTGGAGAGAGACCAAGGCAAAAGGTCTGCTGGGGCTGGATCGAACCCGGACGGTCTGTGAGGCTGTAGCCTGTAGATGCGGTACGCTTCGCCCCGTGAAAGGAGCTGCTGACGGGTGATCGTTGCTTAAACAATCGTAATGCATGTCGTCTACTACCATATCAGTTCATAACACTCAGATCCAATGACTAATTTCTGCTTTCAGTTCTTGGTGATTGCCATTCTGGAAAACAGGTCCTTTTGCGAGTGTTATCCATCTACCGTCACATGTGTTGGTTTTCGACACCGAGGCAAATCCATACGACTTTACCACTCTCGCATGGTCGAACAAGGAACTTATGTCTTGCCATCACTCAAACCCCGGGCTAAGGCGGTAACTTCACCAGTACTTCTAGATCATTCTAATCGCGCGGGGCCACTTTACGTCTCATATTCAGAAGGTCCTTGCTAGGTTCAGGATGATGCATTAGACCTTTCCTCACATCGATAACTTAAATCTAGCGTGTATCAGTCTACCGTTCGAGATGTCATCACTTCGGCTAGAATTATCATATGGACAAACTCGTCAATGGTTTCCTGTGCATTCCCCCCCCCCCCTTTATTTTCTCTGCCATTCTGTTTTCAGAAATAGCCACTCCTCCATCGCTCTGCGTGCTGAATACAGTATGAAGCAGGTATAACCCGTTCCAAGTGTCTAAATCGCGTGTGACCCAAAAGATGTGTCCTTCTAGCTATTAGGTTGCCCCAGCTTCTTTTCTTTCATTAAACACACGAAGCAAGTTTGTCACGCCCCAAACAGGGGCAATGCTAATTCGTGCACAAAAGGGACGAACGCAACTAAAGCCTAAATGTTAGCAAGCGCTAGTATTTATCCTACCTTTCAGAAAAGTACAGGTGTCGTGATGCTAGGTCTCCATTCACATATTCATAGTTTCCAGCTGGCATTGGTTGAATGCGTATAGTCCATTACGGCGCCGGCCTTGTTGTGACCAGATCGGGCGCAACAGGTTTCTAATATTCCAATGAGATTGCTAGCCGCTTGCTGAGTTGTGTCACAAAAGTTTGATTCTTGATCCTTTACTTGGTGAGCAGGCCTGCTCGTGCTGAAACAAGTGGTTTCCTCTCGCCAAATTGACTTATGAAGTTGTCACCATACCTCGCTAGTCTTCTCGCTTATTTACGCTCCTCAGAACCAAAAGATTACATACTTGGGTATTAGATACATTAAAGATTTGGTAGTTCAAAACCGTATCCGGCACCAGATTTGGTAGGCTCATGTCACTTCAAAATATTCCCCTTTACTATAAAGGAGGGAAAATTGTGCCACAGCGGAGCAAGTCTGGAATGCGAGCAGCATCATTGCGAGGTAATGAATTCGCCCTCTTCGTCGCTCTCGGCAAGGATAGCTCTGCTACTGGCTCTCTGGCTCTGGACGACGGCGAGAGTCCCAAGGGGAGCACTTCAGATTTCCAAATCTCATACAAGCACTTTAGCTTGAGCGTTACTGTATCATGTACCTACAAATCCGAACACAAGGTGGAGAGGACTGTGATTCCTAGAGCGGATAGTAAAAAGAACAAAACTGGATCCTGGTCACTTGAAAGTGCCTTTTCAGTTTCCGGCCTTTAAGAATGAATCAATTCAGCTTGAATAAGTGGCAACCGCAGAATGGGGAATGAGAGATAAACATCATAGAGTTGTACAAAGATAAACCACTTCGTCGCGCAGCTCGATACTGGGGACATCTCACATAGTAGACCAACTCAAGTCTTCGCTCATGAACCAAGACCACTGTATCGTGCATCGCAAGGCACGTTGAACGTTAACTTCTAGCTACATAGCTCAGGAAGGCATATGTGTTCCATCAGTGGTCTAGTAGTGCTTGCCAACCTCATTACTTCCGTTTTCCTTTCAATAAAACCTTGCTTTCTTCCCTCTGTTCGAAGCGCTGGTAAGCAAGAGGGGCGTCTTCAAGGCTGTATTCATTAGAAAAGATGAATCCAGGGCGCGCCGCTCCGTTCTTGACGAGCTCTACTAGAGCAGGGACCGAGTTCTTGAGATCCAACATTCCACCCTGGATGCGGAGGCTCTTAAACCAGGCCTGCTCAATGGGAAAACTGATCTCCGGCTTAATCCCAAGCTTTTTAGATGCCTCTGTTCCCTCGCCGCCATTAACGAGAGAAAGCATGTAGGCGCCCGCGATTCCTATGCCCCCGTTGAGTGTAGTTATAGCAGTGGCTTCACGTAGGATGTAATCTTGCTGCAGCTGGAGATCTTCGTTGACGCATGTTTCACCAACACAGTCCACAGTGCGCTTGACGCCTTGAGGACGCAAGGCGAGAATCTGCTCTGATGCTTTACCGCCGCGAGTAAAGTTTATTGGCATGGCACCGATTGAGGCTGCCTTGGCAAGGCGCGAGGGTACATGGTCAATCACATACACCAAGGAAGCGCCTCGAAGGATGGCGCTGTAAGCACACATGAGACCGATTCCACCGGCGCCGAAGACAGCCACCGTATCCCCAGCTTCAAAACCTGACCGGGAGAGAGCGCTCCATCCTGTAGGGAAGGCATCGGTAAGGGGCAGCCACTCTCTGTCATCCAATGAGCAGGGTATCTTGACAAGAGAGGAATCAGCCCATGGAATGCAGGCATATTCGGCTTTTAAATGATATTAGCACAAGTCGGCAGAACATGATAGTAGTAACGTACTCTGAAGGCCCTTATCTGAACCCATTTCCAGACCGAGACCAAATGCAACAGGTCCCTCTGACGATACAAAGGACATGGAAGGTTTGGGGAGAAAGTTTCCATCCTCGGCCATGCACAAGATCAAGACACGGTCACCGCGCTTGAAAAAGTCGACTGCAGGTCCAACTTCCTCAACGATGCCCACGGCCTCATGGCCCACGCCCCAGGGAATATTTTTAGTGCCAACTAGACCGTGGTAGATGTGAAGGTCAGTCCCACAGATTGCCGACGAGGTGATACGGACAATCGCATCTTCAGGTTTGGTGATCTTGGGGACAGGGACGATGTTTGTGCTCATTTGGCCGAGTTTTCCTTCCCACTGGACGGCTTTCATATAGCCTTGTGCCGACCAATTGCTCATGATGGCGATAGAACGTGCTTGATTCCGACAACAGAGTTCTTGGAGTGACCCGGGGTTGGAAAGTTATCTAGACTAATTCCACACGGAGAGCCCAGTCGCATCTTTTATGAATGCGACGTCTATGGTGTTTTTTGCTCCCCAACAAAATTACGTGAGGCTATCCGAGAAACAAGTTCCATCCAAGTGCTGACCACATCGAAACGACCCTACTTTTTTCAGTCACAAGCCGCTATCACAAAGTGATTCATTCCTATTTCATGGAGGTAAGCGAGGGATTTTTCATGCCTTTTTCAGCCTTTGCTAGATCTTTTACAAGGAATTACCCGACATCGAGTGGTACAATTTCACAGGCCATTGGCTGAGCGTGACCGCAAAAATGCTTCACTACAGGCAAGGCCGAGTGTAGATGTCAGCAGTGCAACCTTCGCTCAACGCGAGCTTATTGTAAAGTTCCGAGGCTTTTTTGAATCATTACTGCACGTGCGTATGAACAATGAGACACCAGCCGCCCGAATCGAGACTGAATAGCCATGAAAGGCTAGTGGTACAACTTTATGGACACTCAGGGTGTGTTCTGCCACGAGGCGCAGGGCCAACAAACGAGAAATTAACGAGAAGGGTCGCATTCCGAGACACCATTGTTATCCTTGCCGGGTTGTGGTGACTTGGGTTTTCGTATACTGGATTCAGGCAGCCTGAGTGTAACACCGCAAGAGAGAGTCACCTGACGTGAGGATGGCGCGATGCGTCACAGAATGGTCACGAAATTTATTCAATTACGTTACCTCTTGCCAAAATGGAAACAGCCCAGGCTCGAAGGCATCTTTCAATGAAAATTTCCCTCGCTGTGTTGATAAAAGGTCAAAAACCACGTGTTATCGCGGATGCAGCAAATATCACAAGATACCTTACCTAGGTAACCTACATGCAATGATGGACCAGGGCATCTTAGCAGTATTCAGAAACTCGCCTGGGAAGGATGTTTTGGCCTTCAGTTATTGCTTCCCTAAGTCGCCTAGCCTCTTCTTTTTAATCGGAGTGTCCCGGGGAGCCAAGGTATTAGCATTTTATCAAATCTAGAACTTCAATTTGTGCTTTGTCAACCCCTTCATCTGTTGAATGTCGAGCTTTGCGCTAAGCTAGACGTAGTCACAAGGAAGACTTAATCATGATGGGAGATTATTTAATCGACAATAGGTTCACCCTTTCCCCCTACGACTATACCCCAAATGCTTTTTCTCTTCATACTCTTTCTATTTATGTCAAGAGGTGAGCACCATGGTTGGTAAAACCTGATCAATTGATTCGAAACTCATGACGGTCACTCTAGGGTAGGTAGGTAGCTTGCATTCGCACGTCGATGAATACGCCAACATTTTCTACCATCTTTTTGTCATGGAGAAAATAGATTGCGAGAGATTACCGATAACCTACCGACGGACCCCGATAAGCTCATGATCAGCAGCAGCATAACTAATTGCTTTACTTAACAATGAAAGCTTGTGGCTCGAGCGCCCATTCGCTATCGGCCACCTGCTCGATTGAGGATAAGCCAAGCGAAGGTTAACCGAAGGAAGCTCATAGCCTTAACAGTTGGTACGATTGCAATCATGGGGAAAGTCTCCACGGAGGTAAATTGCCCCTGGAACAACCTTGCAATGTAACATGAATCAGGAACCGGTCACACCCAAAGCTGGCAGGCCAAGCGCGAGCGATGGGAATCACCCCAGAGACGCACCCATCAGATGGCACGAGGAAATTACGCGTCGCTCATCCCGACTGTCGGCGCTGTCGTGATTGGATGTGTGCTGCTGGGCCACAGCGATGCTGCTCCTGAGCACTCTCGGGCGTGAACTTGGCACAGCCGGAATCAGATTCAATAAATATCCTATCTAACCTATCGACCGAGGCGAGCGGCGGGCGGCTCTCTATCCAGTCAATCGCAGACTCGTTTGTGCTGCCGAACTCGACGCGACACGATCACAAGCGACGCGGAACACGACAGCATGAAGGCAAAAGATGCGACCGACGGCTGAATTGAAGAGGCCAACGCCACAGCCACTGGCTTGCATCGAATTGAATTTTCGGTGAGCGTCGCTCCTTTGGCAAGAACTTTTGCTCGCCACTCTTATCTGGATGCTCCGCACTTTTCAAAAAGATCCCTCCATACCCCAATGCCCCATCAGGCAGGTGTATCCCCCTGTCGCTGATATGGCCAGTCGAACACACTCTTCCAGCGCGTTGAAAGTGCCAAGAAGCAGCTGACGGGCTTTTTCTTGGGGTCGGATTGTATTTAAGAGCAGGCCACTCACCCATCTGCAGCTGGTGTCATGTCGTAAGCTTCTCGAGCCCCAGCCTTACTCCCTCCGACCTCCTCAAAAAGCCACTCTTTTGACAAAATGAAGTTCTCCGCTGCCATTGCTGCCCTCGGGCTCACATCCGCCGCTGCTGGATGCCTCCTCGACAGTGAGCGAGAGGCTGAGCGCCTCTACGTTCGAACCGGCGAGCGCCCCGGCCGTACTGTCTCGAGAGTGAAGAGAGCCTCCACTGCTTTCCCCATTGGCACCGGAGACCGCTTTTCTAATGGATGCGTCGCCCCGGTCGGTCTTGGTACCAAGGACCGTGATGTCCAGTCCATCTTCAATGTCAAGGAGGTCGGCACCGCCCTCAAGGGTCTGAAGAAGGCCTACCCAGACGACATCAAGCTCTTCAAGCCCCCCTTCAAGACATATGAGGGCAGGGACTTTCCCGGAGCCATCATTGGCGAGAACCCGAGGGTCTTCATCATGAGCGGTATCCACGCCCGCGAGCGTGGAGGCCCCGACAGCGTCATCTACTTCATCGCTGATCTTCTGGCCGCCAAGAAGGCGGGTACTGGCGTTACATACGGCAACAAGAGCTACACGCTCGCGGATGTCGAGAAGGCTCTCTCCGCCGGTGTCATCATCATCCCCCTCACCAACCCCGACGGTGTCGCATACGACCAGTCCACCAGCACGTGCTGGCGCAAGAACCGCAACCCCGAGTCCTCGGGCGGCGACGCCGAGAAGATCGGTGTCGACCTGAACCGCAACTACGACTTCGTGTGGGACTACAAGACGGCCTTCAACTTGACCGCCGCCGACGAGCCCGCCTCGGACGATCCGGCCAGCGAGATCTTCTACGGCACGGCGCCCGAGTCCGAGCCCGAGACCAAGGCCGTCGTCTGGACCCTCGACCAGTACAAGAACATTACCTGGTTCATGGACCTCCACTCCTTCACCGGCGACATCCTCTACGGCTGGGGCGACGACGACGTGACCACCAACAACACCGACATGTACTTCACCAACCCCAAGTACGACGGCCTCCGCGGCGCCGTCGGCGACGACGTGTACAGGGAGTACCTCAAGCCCACCGACTTCCAGATCGAGAAGGACGGCACCTCCCAGATGGTCAAGAGCATGACCGAGGTCGGCGGCGTCGAGTACGGCGCCTACGAGGCCGTCGGCCTGTACCCGACCTCGGGGGCCAGCAACGACTACGCCATGGGCCGCTACTACGGCAAGCTCGCGTGCGGCGCCAGCCGCATGTTCGGGTACACGCTCGAGTTCGGCGTCGAGAGCACCGCCGACCCTATCTGCCCCTTCTACCCGGACAACAGCGAGCACCACCGCAACATGAAGCAGATTGGCGCGGGATTCATGGAGATGCTGATCATTGCGGCCGGCGAGGCTGGTGACCCGATGTACCTTGAGTGTTAAGCTTGAATTAAGCTACTCGCTAATGAAAATCCTAATGTCGACGGTTGGAATGTTGAAGGAGACAGCATTTAGCCGTACCTAGTATATAGTATGTAATGAATGAAACGATTAATCTCCACGTCGCAGCCCAAAGAAGGTGTGAACTCATAATCATGCTGCCCTTACTATCTGTATTCAAATTTGATGTGTTTTCTCCTTCTCCCAGTTTGGGTCAAGCAATAGTCGCGTCAACAAGAAACAAGGCACAGTTGATTCATTCTTGCTTGTGGGTCAGGCTAAATCAGCCTTTCAATCAATCAATCAAGCCACTGGTCAATTGCTGAGCAAACATTAAATCCTCTGTCAATCTCCCTTGGAACCGGCACAATGGTGACATTCTTATCAATCCTTCGCAACACTGCCCCCCTCGCCACCGGACAGTGAAACGCAAACGCTCAATGCCTGTAAGCACGACGCGGTAATTAATGTTTTCTAGTCTGCCTCGCTATCGGCACGTGATGAGCCCCTTATTTCTTTCTTATTCCCGCGCGATCGACTCACTTGGCGATGATCAGCTCCGATTTCCCTCTTCCATGTCGCGATCGCACAAGGGCTTGGCCACGGATCCCGACCATCGCATTGTCATAAAGGCTGAGGGTAAAGACAAGAGCTCAGCCTGGTTTTGATCAATTGGTATATTCGGCAGTTACTCCTTCCCAGCTATTCCCGGGCAGAACCCTCAAGACACAATGGCCGGAATCGTCAGTGAGATCGGCTTTCTCATCTTCACCTTCGGGGTGGTGCTCCCTGTGGCATTCTTTGTAAGTTTGGACATCTGATTGATAAGATGGCCACTTCTAACAATAACTCAAGATGTTCTACACCGCCTATTCGGTATTCCCCATTCTCGCTGCAGTCGAGGACCTCGACGCCTCCATCTACGACAGCATCAGCATCGTCGTCCCCCGCGTCGCCGACGAGTCTGAAGGCCCAACCCGCCTCGGCAAAGATGGCGGCGCCAAACCCCTCCCCGTCAGCACCAGCCTCCGCTCCCTGACCCGGCTGCTCTACTCGAGCAGACGGTGCTTCCCCTTCTGCCGCGGCTACGGCTGGTTCTTCCTCTTCGGCGTCGTCAAGAGCCTCGCCCTCGGCGTGTGCGTCAAGTCCCCCCTCCTCGGCTTCCTGGCCCAGATCCTGCTCCCGCTCGCCGCCACGCACTTCCACGCGCTGTGGGTGCACTCGGTCCTCTCCACGTCGTCGAGGACCAACGGCCTCCAGGGCCGCGCTATGGAGGCTGGAAGGCTCTTCAGGACCGCGGGACCCGCCATGGCGCTGTATCTGACGTCGGAGGCCGTGGTGCAGCGGATCGTTCTGCAGTACTACAAGGCCGTCGGCATGAAGTGGGAGGACTTCTTCCCGGTGATGGGCCATTTCCACAAGTCGTTCCTTTTCTGGATGCTTCTCGCCTTTCTGACCTTTGTCATTGTCGTGCCTGCGTACGTGGTTCTGGTGCGCGCCGAAGCCTCTCTGCTGCCCTCCGACGAGCAGACCCTCGTCCCGCTGGATCCTGCTCTGGAGGGCATCTCTGGAGAAGGGGTGATGGCTCTGGTTGGGGCGTGGAGGTCCTTGACTCGCCCGAGGATTGTCAACGTGGCATTCCTTTATGTTAGGATGTTCATCATCACCGTTCCTGTCACGTTTGTGCTCGGTTATATGGACTTTGCGTGGTGGCTTGTGCTGGCTATGAGTAATTGGCAGTTTTAAGAGGTGGCGGGTTGTTAGAATCGTGATCGATGCTTGGGTAATTGTTGGATTGTTGGTTTCTCAAGACCGCATGCAGGTTCAGATTAAATAAAACTCGACGGATAGATACTCACGGCACCTGGCGATTCTAGTTGAGCTCAATTGTTGGTCGGCAAAAATTCTAACCCAAGTTCTCTACCAAGGATGCAGATATCTACCTATCCAATATAATATTCAAATCCCACCGTCGCTTCATGTCATGCATGCTGTTTCTAAAAAACACCAATCAACTCTAGAGACCCATTAAAGCTTGGCCCTCTTGACTCTTCTAGCCTCCTTCTCCTTATCTCTCAGCACGCGTCTCAGGATCTTCCCGGACGGGCTCTTGGGGATCACGGCGATGAACTCGATGCCGCCCTTGAGCCACTTGTGCCTGGCCTTGTGCTCCTCGACGTGCTTGTTGATCGACCTGATCACCTCCTCCTCGGGCTTCGCGGTAGCCTCGTCCGACTTTGTGATGTACGCCTTGGGCAGCTCACCGGCACGCTCGTCGGGAATCTGAATCACAGCACAGTCGGCGACGTCGGGGTGAGTGAGTAAATGAGCCTCGAGCTCAGCCGGAGCAACTTGATGGCCCTATCAATGCCGACGTTAGACTCGATTACAATAGTTAGATTCGGGGATATCTCACCTTAACCTTGATCAGCTCTTTGATGCGATCAACAATAAAGATGTGCTCGTTCCCGGCCGGCGACTTCCTCACGACCACCTCGTCCCCCGTCCGGATCCAGCGCCCGTCCTCGTGCCAGACAAAGGTCTCGGCGTTGGCCTTCTCGTTGTGGAGGTAGCCCAGCACGACCGAGGGCCCCTGGACGAGGAGCTCGCCGGGTGTGTCGTAGGCGGTGATTTCTTTCCCCTCGGGGTCGACGATCTTGGCCTTCATCGCGGGGAGGAGAGAGCCCGCGGATCCGAACCAGATGTCGTGGTCGCTGGTGGATGAGACGACGGTTGCTGTTTCCGTCATACCTATTTGCCCAAACTGTCAGTTCTCACCATCGCGACAAGAGTTACTTTTGGGGGACTTCATACCGTATCCCTGCCCAATCTTCCACTGCGGAAACAACGCAAGCAGCTCATCCGCCGTCTCGCGCCCCAGCGGCGCAGCACCCGTGAAGACGGTGCGCAGGGAGCTGAGGTCGTACTTTTTGCACACGTCCTGGTGCCGCAGGAACAGGATCAGGATGGGCGGGACGAGGGCGATGGACTCGATCTTGAAGCGCTCGATGGCCGAGAGGAAGGTGGCTAGCTCGAAGCGGGGCAGGACGACAATCTCCTCGCCGCGGTAGGTGCACAGGTGGGTGACGGGGACGAGGCCGTAGATGTGGCTGAAGGGGAGGACGCCGATGCCGGCTCCGGGAGGGGGGTTGCCCTTGAGGGCGCGGGCGTGCTTGTCGAAGGACATTTTCTGGATGACGTTGGCGATTACGTTGTAGTGGGAGATCATGACGGCTTTCTGCGGTGGGAATGGGTCAGATCATGGCATTCAATGGAGAGATTTTAGACGGGGGATTCGACTCACGGGCAGGCCAGATGTTCCGCTGGAGTAGCAGAGGTAGGCTACCTGGCGCGCGCCCTGGCCGGTCACCCACTGGAGGGAGGGCAGCTCCGGCAGAGACTTGCCCTGCTCTATCAGGTCGTCAACCGTCTGGAAGGATGTCTTGTTGTCCGCGCCGGGCACGGGGAGGAGGAAGATGTGCTCGCGGGGGATGCCCGCCGCCTCGGCCGCCTTGAGGGCATTCTCCAGCAGGGGCACGCAGGTGAAGAGGACCTTGGCGCCCGAGGACTTGAGCTGGTGCTCCAGCTCGATGGCGGAGTAGGCGGCGCTGGCGGGTGTCACGATGCCGTTGAGTCTGTGGACGGCGTGCGTGAAGGGGATGTAGTCAATCTATAATTCTATCAGACGAGGTCTCGACGGGCGAGAAAAAGCAATAGGCGACAGAGGCCAACTCACCGTGTTCACCGAGTAGAGGCACACAATCTTGTCCCACTCTGTCCCCTCGCGCGGGTGGAAGTTGAGCTCCTTGCTCAGCGCGCGGGCGAGATGGTCCTCGCGCGCGATGACCTCTGCGGCCGAGTACGTCTTGCCCGTGATGCCGCAGGTGTAGGGGTTCCGCGACTGGGCGATTGGGGTTCGGCCGTACTTCTCATTCGCCATGAATTCCCCGACGGTGACCGTGTCGGGCGGATCTGCTCTGCGTCAGTGTCACTCGCACAAAACAGTGAGGGGTTAACCGACCGATGAACAGCTTGGGAACCCATTCTGGGGCTGTGAAGACCATGGCGGGTGTTTCTTTGAGGTAGAAGGGATAGGTGCAAGTGCGCGAGTATGGGAGGAGGCGAGACGATCAAGCAAGCCAGCTTCATTTATCTGGCCGGCGCTGGTCTGCTTGCCGCCCCTGCACTTGCACCGCATTTTTCGAGCCGACAACCTCCTCGGCTCAATGCCAAAGACAGGAAAAGGCCCATACAATCGTGAACTAGCCGTGGGGGCACCAGCAAGCATCCCCACAATCAATTCACCTCCTGCGTCCAGATTCCTCAGAGCTACGCACAAACAGGGTCTAGCGAGTGGCTCTTGGTCGACCGGAGTTTGCCTCTCTCCCCGCATTTGCCTCGACGGAATCCGGGGGCCAAGTCACACGCCCGAGCCTGGGAGACTAGCAGTCTGGGCATGTCTTGTCCTTGTCCATGCTCTCAAGGCTGTCTTTCTGTCGGTAATGCTTGTGCCCAGTGGCCAGGCCATTTTGAACGCGCGGCAAGTTCATCGTGGGCAGGAGAATGAGAGCTCATCGCACAAGGCGAACGGCTCGCCAGTTTTGTCTCGTTCAGGAAATGCCGCCCCGAGAGCGGTTTTGAAACACCAGATGGCATCTCGGGGCAAATCAAGTCCGTGTCTTGTGGGGTTGCAGTCCGGGGAACGGTCCTATCATGAAACAGTGTTTTGAGGATTATTAATGATGGCTGCTGGTAACAAACATACGCGATATTCCCGATGCTCCCCCCCCGCAAGATTCCCTGTGCTTTCTGGTGTCCTTGTGATCAATCTCTCCGCTTCTTGCTTTCCATGCTCTCAAATCCGTTCGCCTTGCCCTTGATTCCCTATTTTCCTTGATCCTATCCAAAACTCCGTCATCAATTACCTATTCCTAACAATGTACCTTATCCAATTGCCTAAAGTTGCGACTCGTGCAATGCTCATGCGCGGCACATGCGCGGCACAAACGGTCGTGCATGCTCAATTGTGAACTCAATCTGCTCATCTGCATTGTCAAAGTTAGTTCATCAACCCAAAGCGGATGCCTTATCAATGCATACCTTTATCATCCATCCACCATCGCGCAGTGATCTTCCCGGGAGGCCTATGCCACCACACCCTCCTGGGCCTCCTCTGCTTCATCCGAGCGCCTCGCTGGAGGACGGTAGCCAAGCAAAAACGCGGCAGTTGGGCACCACAGCAGAGCCTGCTCCCCTCGGACTGTCCTCTGCACAAAACGGAACCACGCTCTGGGGTGGCCCCTCATGCCCAGCCGCCCGCGCAGATTGGGCGTGCCAGTGTCGACGCGCTCAGCACCGAGGCCGAGCAAGGTGCTCACAAAAGACTGCAGCCGCGACGGCCGCACGAGCGCCATCATGGAGTCCTGGCCTCGCGTCTGAGTGACGGCTATGGCTTCCAGGATGGACTGGCCCTTGAACTGGCCCCATTTCGGCCGCCATGTGATGTCCGCGCCCTTCTCGATGAGCTTCCTGATGGTGACGGGGTCCAAATCATCGGCTAGACCGGGAGCCGGAACGAAGATGTCAAAATGTATAGCCGTATTATCCACTCGCATATCAGGGCCACCCTTGAAGGCTTCCCGAAAGTCCTGACAGGAAAGCTTTCTCACGACGCGCATCAGGAAGAGGAAGAGCACGTCGCTCAGCTCGTCCTGGAAAGCAAGCTCGAAATTCCTCGGCGTCAGGAGAATGTCCAAGATGGCGCTCCAGCGGCGTATGATGGTCTGCTTCTGCTCCAAGGAGGGTTTGAGTCGCGGGTGTGGGACCATCCGCTGGATCAGAGGTCCCGTGTCCATCCCCAATACATTGTCTTTCCAGAGGAGGAAGGCAGGCACCCCTCCTCTTGCTGCTTGCTTGCGGATGAGAACTCTCGTCATGGCATATAGATCCTTGTTCAGCAGCGACGCGAACCCATTGTTCTTGGTCCAGAACAACTCGAGTAGCGAATGAGGCGGGCGCTCGGATGTAACGGCGGCCTGGGTCGTTGTTTGAATGACAGCGCCGTGGTGAAACAGGTACTGGAGACCCTCTGAAGCAGAAAAGGGTCCGGTCTGGTCTCTCTGAGTGAAGTCCGCGAGCACGTAGGCCCACACGGGGCTGATCATGCAGCGTCCCTCCACGGACTCTTCGAGGGACTCGAGGGCTACAGTGAGTGGCTGGTTGATGTCCAGTCGAGTCGTTAAGAGCATGTCGACGATGCCCGTCTCACCAGACTCAGCCATGCGCATGGCGGCAGCAAACATTGGCACGCGTGTCGAATATCTGTACTGCAGCGTGCGCTTGTAGCCTGGCCCCTCCAAAGGATCGAACACGGCCAGCCATTGTCGAAAATGTTCTCGAGAGAGTAAATACTCGGCGAAAGGTGCCGCATCGTACCGAAGGATGTACTCGATTGCAGTCTCTAGGTCTTCGTAGCAAGGGTAGTGCCCGTACGACATGGCCTTGTCAATAGCCCATCCCTCTCCGCGAGAGCAGCCATAGAACATCAGCTTCTGTCGGGAGGCGAGGGTGAAAAGCAGGAAGGGCTCCCATTTGCGGTGGAAGGCCTTGCTGCACTGGCTCAGTCTCCCTACGTCGCTTGGGGACAACCAGCCTGTAATCTCCAGGCATATGTCTGGGAGAAGGTTGACATCCATCGCTGCTACTGTCGCTGTGGGCAGATAGATACGAGGCTTCTGCTGGATGCCACTCCTAATGGAGATGGATTTGGGAGAAGAAGAAGGAGAAGAAGAGAGGGAAAGAGGCAGACTCTTGTGCTCGGGGGACCAGCTGAACGCGCTCAGATCGCCTGCACCCCACCGCTGAGGTCAGCGGCGTCATTTCCCCTCCTTTGTGGTGTTGAGTGAGGCTGCAGGCTGCATCAGGCGCTTCTGCACTTTGGAGCATCATGCATGCGAGAAGCTGGCCTACCTTGGATAAAACGTTTGAATGTTGTTTTATTCCTATATAAGACCGTTGGATTGCCTATTTTCCTAGCGCGAGAACCAACGATTAAAGTAGACACTACCGAGCAACGACCAAGGGAGCGGTAGTGACATCCCAAGCTTCGTTCACAATAGAGACAGAGCTGAGTTCGGGAGTGCATTAGTGGAAATTAGCGTGTATCATGCTGCCCAATCAATCTCAAGTTCAGGCGAGCATTATTGGCCATACCGCCACCGCCCTTTTCCTCCGACATGATTTGCGCAAGCAGATGAGCCCAATCAGAACCTGATCAGAGCCAAGGAGCGGCTTGATAAGAATAAAATGACATATAATAAATCGTTACCATTCGAATTGGAAAGGGTTTCTGGTGGGCGGGAAGGTCACTTTCCCAACCAGCTGCATCAGGATGCTGTCGCTAATGAGTTGTGTTCTTTCCTGGCCCTCTTACGCTGCCGGACAATTGTTCGTATTTATACCTGGCATACTCATCACCTCGGCATAAAAATTCGTTACATCTTATCATCTCTCAAGGGATAAAGCTCAATGGCCTTCCTCCTTTCCCACCAAATTACTCCAGAAATGGAATTGTTCTTCTTGAGTCAGACTCTGCTTATTTCAATCCCAAAGGATCGCTGCCATCCTAGCGCTCTTCCAAGCAATTTAATCCAACCCTCCATCGCTTAGCCCTACCCACAGATCCAAATCGGTCCATATAGACGGTAATGTTTATCGTGCATCTGGTCCTCGGGTATCGCAACCGCCCCAAATGCCCCGCTCGGCTTTCGGCCTCGTAGAAATAGCGACATGCGTTGACCGACTGACCCTGCGTTTTCGGTAGGATGCGCAGTACGTATTTGGATCGTAAGTCACCCAATCAACAATATCAGTGTCAAGGTTTAGCAACGCTAATAGGGAGCCGTTACATTCTCCTTACGTGCGGTGAGCTCATCCCCCTATCGTGATTCGTAGACCTAGCCAGGGCTTGACGCCACGGAGGAGGGGCTGGATCTCGTCTGACACTTGGGGATCGCTCCCTTGCACTCGTCTTATATAAGATAGGTCAGCGCATCGCGAAGGGGGATGCTACTAAAAATGAATCTATACTAAATTTCGTTATAATAATGAAAACTCCCGGAAATTTGAAGCACACTCTCTTCTCTTTTCCTCATGACTACAGCGAACGATAGCGATCGCGAGATGGACGGTCGCGAAACCCTACCCGGGTTCTTCAGAATCCCCCGCGAGATCAGAGACCTGATCTATGAAGAGCTCCTGGTCCATTCGGGGTGTATTTTTCTCGATGTAATCTGGTCGCGACCTGCATCCCTGGGCTTCACATTCAACAGCCGGCTCCTCCCAACCTCACCGGAAATTCTGCGTCTCAATCGAAGGGCACACCAAGAAGCGACACAGATTCTGTACGGCAAAAATCAGTTCCAAGTCGAGAATGTGAAAAACTTCACCCGCTTCCTGGGTGAAATCGGTCCGGCGAATTCAGCGCTGCTTCGGCATCTGATAGTCCCCTTTCCCTACTTCAAAGAAGACGACGGTGTCGTCGCGGTGCGGATGGACTCCATTGGTATGCAGGCAATCGACCTAATACAATCAAAATGCCACAATATCGTCGTCCTCGAGACGTGCCTGTTCAGCAGCAACCTAGTGGAGTCGAAACTGGACGCCTTCGGCCATCCTGAAGCCGTCAATCAGGCCCTGGACCTGTTCATGGACAAGTTTTGTGCGGTCCCTTCCTTCCGCCACTTACGGGTCAACCTCTTCGACAAACCAGTCAGCCTTGTATTTCGCGAGATTTTGAACAACCACAGACGTGTCCTCGTTGTTATGAATACGAGTTCATCGGCTTAGGCTTCGGCGGGGTGTATTAATTTGAGTTGGATGTGTATATTTTCTCGACATCGCTTCTTGTTTCTTCTCATCAGCGTGCGAGCGACGAGGCAACCTATATTGACGACGCTTTAGTAATTATGCTCACAATGATAACCTTTTTAATGATATTCATTAATCTCACTCGAAGGACTCTTACCAGTGAGGTTGCAGTACCAGTACAGCTTGAAGTTGTTCTTTATAATTGTCGCAGAGATTCGCCGGGTGGAACGTCACAAGACAGAGCGGGTTGTAGAAAATTGGTCCAGACACTGTACCGACGAACCACTTACGAAGCTGCAACCACACTGCCGCTTCAAGTGCCTGACGGGCCCTGGGCTCTTGGTGAGGGTAGAAAGCGCCGCAAGTCTATCCCTCCTCGGTCCACCAGCCGTTGCTGGAGTTGAGTATCCTCAAGTTGCGCCATTCGCTATGGTTCGTTTTACCCAAAATAGTGGCCCCTACTTCTCGAAACTTTCTCGCGAGTCGATTCGGTTCGTACTTTGGCTCCCAAGAGCGCATCGGTGTTGTTTACGCTGTGATTTGTAAGGATCTATCCAGTCCGAGAATACGGTTAGCAAAGGAAGCCAAGGGTTTGGGCCGGAAAGTCAACAGCAACATGTAAAACAACAATCATACCATATCTTTGATCAAGAAATCTCATGTAGAGGACCACCAGATCAACCACAGCGCTTATAAAAGTGTTAGATATGGCGAGACATCTCAAAAATTCTCCTCGATGAGCGCTCATTGTCAAGCCTAGACGCAATGGACAACGGATCTGGATGTAGCTCGGTGCCGACGCACAATTCGTAGCCAACCCCATAATCCGAGCAATGCAAATCTGATCGATTTTCAGGTCAGCAATCTTCCGAGAGGATTTGATGGTGCAGTGGCTAGCCTTGAGGTAAATGATTGAGAATTTAGACCCCTTTAAGAGTCTCAACGTCTGCTTCGGTGTGAACTTCTATTGGATCGCGCTGGAGAGTCGGCATTGGGTTATTTAGTCCTGTTCGCTCAACCTACCTCGTCGATTCCAACCAGCCTTAGGCGGGGCCTAGGAGTGCCCAGAATGACTGGAGAAGAAACTGCCAGATCATGTTCGGCTAAATTCTCGAAGAATGCCAGCCGTGTAGAGATCTCCAATTACGAAGCGAAGAATTAGGGAATATCACCATCAGCCGTCCGACCACTCAGTTGGGGGAGAAACTAAAATGCGCAATGCTGCGTTCGTGGCTTTCTGAGAAGAATGCCGTCGCTGGAGAAGTTGTCTGACGCAAGAGGCTGAGCTGAGGTGATTTCTTCAGCAAGATGGAGGATAGGATCTGTCACTTGCTGCCTTGCATGGCTTCGTAGCGGTCAATAGGATGATTTGCTATCGTCTTCTTGGAAATGGGCGCGGGGCATCGCTCATTGTGTCTTCGTCGGTCACTGAGGCTACTTGCTTCAGGGTACTTGCTGTCGCACTGTGGGTACTTCCAGTTTTGAGACTTGTGTGCTTAGATCCGCAGTTAGAACAGCGCAGAGATGTACCTCAAGGGTGCATAGAAGTATTTCTTTGCGACCCGTCCCCGAGCCAAGAAACGGTCGTGGCATATCCAATCCGCAGGCAGGCTGCCAAGGCGATCATAGAGAGGATGGGTAGAACTGCCAAAAATGAGCGTATCGACCAGTTCGCGTGTCTCTGGGTATTCGGATCTTTTGCTAGTCATCTACAAGCGATATACAAACCCCTTTCTTCCAATTTGAACGGTTTCGACAATTGAAATAGTGACGATGAACCATAATTTGCGTTCCCAAATCCGCATTTCCTCCGCGCTGATCATCACCCTTGAGTTTTGCTATCATTCCGTTTATTCGAGATCTTGAGAGGAACACACCAAATTCAGGCCATTCAGCCTTCAGTCTTTGGTCTGTAGACTCCTAAAGTAGCTGGGCACTGAAAAGGCCGGTGCTGTTACACATTCGCTGGAAAGTGAGGGACTACTCAGACTCTAGGCATCACGAGAATCACTTCCAACGGACAAGAAGACAGGATATGGGTCTCTAGGAGCCAAGAGTATTTTTCGCATGTGCATTCAATCTACCGAAAGAGTCCAGATACTTGCCAAAATGGCAAGGAGATTGCAATTTGGACAACAGCATTTCGAGTCTCTGATCCCATGATTTCCTACCGCAAACAAGGCTCGCAGCATACGCGTCGTGGGGATAGCTTTCCTCTGACGCTTGAACATGATATTGGCATACTTATCTCACCAATAAATATCACCCGCAAGTCTGGAAATTGTAACTGAGCTGTGCGTCTCCAGACACTTCGTGCCGAAGTTTCTCAAATCAGAAATGTCTAGGGTAGGTCCCCATGATATGTCCGGAGCGCTTCGTTGAACAAAACCTCAACGCGCAGATACTCGTAGCCCATGGATTTAGTGAATAATCTAGGATGCCGCTCGATATAGCTTCTTCGAGTACATAGAGACGATGTTTGCGCTCACGTAGATACGAAAACCTGTCGCGGAGCTTCTCGCCTCGCCCTCGTAGGTGGCTTCTCCCCCGGTGACCTCGCTCGATCTCAAGCTTTTTCGTCCCCAGCTACTGCTTGTCCTAATATGCTTCGGTTGATCTTGGGCTTCATCTAATATCTAGTCTAAACGTGTGGGAAATCAAGAAAAGATCAATTGCCGTACTCAAAGTGGGAACTTGTTTCCTGGGCCCGACCGAGAGGACATCACGGAAGATCAACACGATCTCCCTCTTCCTTCAATCCCACGACACTTTCTAGACGAAGTAGGCTTCATTAAGACGCGAATTATTGCCTTGGGCCTGTTCCCAC